GAGAGAGAGAGAGAGAGAGAGCACACGTGTGTGTGCTTGTTTAGATGAATTAGGGATGGGGGATAGAATGTCACGTATATCTACCAAGTAGTCCTGGGTGGTTAGAATCATAAGATTATGAATTCAAAGCTGGGGGGAACCTTAGAGGTTATCTATTCCAACCAAGCTAGGTGGCATAGTACATAAGGGGGCAGGGCCTGGATTCAGGAGGACCTGAGTTCAATTTCGACCTCAGACACATAACACTTACTAGTTGTATGACCCTGGGCAAGTCACTTAACCCCATTGCCTAGCCAAAAAAAAAAGAAAAATGGGGGTGATAGTAGCACCTATCTGCCAGTGGTGTTGTGAAAATCAAATGAGATAATGCTTGTAAAGCACTTAGCCCAGTACCTGACACATAGTAGGCATTTTACATAAATGCTTGTTTCTTCTCCTTCCCCCTCCCCTCATCATTTTATCTATAAGAGGAGGAAACTAGGGTTTGGTGAGGTTAAGTAGGTGGTAAGTAGCAGGATTTGAACTCAGATCCTCCAAGCTTTTCCCACAATCAAAGGCTCCCTCTGACCTGAAAAGATAGACTGGAACTAGTTTGAAGGAGTTTACATTTTACACTGGAGGCTAGAGGGAGCTAGAGCTTTTTGAGAAGGTTAGTGACATGGTTAGACCTGTCCTTGAAGGATAACCAGTTTGGCAGCTGTGTGGAGGAGAGGAGAGAGGGACTGGAGACAGGGAGACATTGGGGGCCATTGCAATGGTCCATTCCAGAGGTGATGACAACCTGGTGGCTGTTAGTGGAAAGAAGGGGAGGATACTAAAGGTGATACTGATTAAAAAAAAAAGTAATAGCAAATGACAGGCCTGGTCCATTTATTTTTTTTTTCTGCTTGTTGTCCTTCCACTTTTATTGTTAAATTCCCTCGGGGTGATACAGGTTAATTGTAAGGTTCCAGATTTCCATAGACTTATTTTCCCTAGCCCTACTATTTACTGTTAAAACAGTAAATATAAGGCTATAAGCATCAGTCTTCTTCCATAAAATTTTGTAAATGAGTTTATTTCCAAGCCAGTGCTATTCTTGGTTGCCCTGTCTCTCTGCTTCACAAGGAGGTCCGGTATGGACTGAGGTCATTTCTGGGCTCTTTCAGCCTTCTTTGCTGTATGTTGGTCAACCTTCTGGAGGATCAAGGAGGACTATTTCTTTTCCTGTATTTTAGCATCAATAGCTAAGCAGGTCAGGTTGGAACTACTGTCATTTGCTTACTGTATTTTCTCATCTTTATCCTTTCTTTTATTTCTGGCATAGATTCTGGCCTCTCTTCCAAAAAAATTAATGTACGTGACTGATGTAGAAAAGGCCTTCACATGGGGTTACCCTGTGGTAACCTGTCAAGATACTAGGTGGTTCCATGTAATGTTTGGCATTTGCCACGTCCAACCCCTTCTGACTCTTCTGGAAAGAATTCATGATGAATAAATGAAAAGCTTCTGAAGTAAGCTACAGATGTCAGGCAGATCTTATTTCTTAATCCCAAATCATGTTTTACAATATTTGTTACTGGTCTCCCTAGAAAAGCCTGGCTTTGCTTTGAAGTTAGAGTAACAGCGTATATGTTGACTTGGAGGAGCCCATCAAATAATTCGTCAAATAATTTTCCAAGTTAGCACATAGGTGGTACAGTATAGAGTGCCAGGCTTGGAGTCCAGAAGACCCAAGTTCAAATCCAGCCTCGGATACAAGGTGACCCTTCTACATACACAAGTGAGCCCTTTCCATCCCTTCTCCTTCAGCATATCACCCCTTCTGTCATCGCTACCATCTCACTTATCTTCAGTCTCTCCCTGTCTCCTAAGTGCCTGAATAGCTCACCTGGTAGAACATTAGATAGCCGGGGGCAAAAAAGTGTCACAGGAGATGTTTAGAAAATATGTGATCAGAAAAGGATGTGGACCAATCCTTTTCTGAGAGTGAGGATTAATAGATGGGATGATGGCCCAAGGCCATCATTAGTGCCCGTGTAATAGTAAAACACTTAGAAGAAGGCCTTCCATGTGTTGGGTAGATCTGTCATGGGGCAAAGTGTGGCTGGGTTTGAACCGGCACAGCTGAAAGGACTCAGTAAACATCACTGAAATAAGAGATCCATTGAAAGGGTTATCTTTGCTTTTTGAAGGAATGAAGGACCCATTGAAAAAGTCCTTCCTCTATGCCCAGTGCTATCTGTTGTGCACTGTGGAAGGCACTTTCCTTGTCCCTGGGAGCTCATGCTCGAGGTGGAGAGAACACCTACACAGATTAAAATACAAGGAGTAATGTGAAGTTGTGTTAAGGGCCACATGAACAGGAATGCTGAAGAATTGGCCTTTATCCTATTGGCAATGGGAAGTCACTGCAGATTTCAGAGCAGGATAGTTCTGGGATGAAAGTGGTAACCCAAAAATTAATTGGGTGATATCTGCAGCTCAGATCCTACCTTCTGCAGGAAGCTTTCCCCAGGTCCCTCAGCTGCTAATGCATTTCCCTATGATGGGTGGGGAACCTACAGCCTCGAGGCCACATGTGGCCCTCTAGGTCCTCAAGTGCAGCCCTTTGACTGAATTCACACTTCACAGAACAAATCCCCTTCATAAAAGGATTTGTTCTGTAAAACTTGGACTAGGCCAGTAGGCCACACCCGAGGACCCAGAAGGCCACATGTGGCCTCGAGGCTGCAGGTTCCCTACCTCTGCCCTATGAGATCACCTTTTATCTTAGCTGTGTCTTATCTTCTACTTACCTGGCTGTTCACATGGTGTGTCCCTCATTAGTCTAAACTTCCAGGTGTGGTCTCTCAATCTGTAATCCCTTTAAGGGGAGGTTGGGGTTAGTGGATTGCTCGAGTGTGGGCGTTCTAAATTGCGGTGGGATTAGAGTCTTCCAGGTGTCTGCATTAAGTGTAGCATCAATATGGGGGGTCCCCAACTACGGGGCTGTGCTGACTAAGGAAGGGCAAATTGGCCCAGGTCAGAAAGGGTGTGGGTCAGAGTTTCTGTGGATCAGCAGTGGGGTCAAGCCTATAAGGAGGCACTTAATTTTTCTGAAGTACTGCTTTTATCCCATGACTATTCTGCATTAAAATCTGCAGTGACTTCCCATTGCCTATAGGATAAGTGACCGCTGCACTTTCATTCTAGGCAAGATAAAGATGAACTTAGTCTCTTACTCTCCCTTCCAGAAAAAAAAAAGAGTCCAACAGGGACTATTTTTGCCTTTCTTTGTATTTCAAAATAATGCTTAATACAGTGCCTGTCACATAGTGAGAACTTAATAAATGTTTGTTGACTGGCTAGGGGCAGAGAGAAAGAAGACCAGCTAGATGACCATTGTAGAAAGGATTGAATGATGCCACGTTTCTGTAGCATCCCAAAGCGCTCTTGCATCCATCATTTCACTTGATCCCTGCAATACCCCTGTTATACAGTTAGATGAAGAAATTGAGGCTCCCTGAGGGTAGATGACTTTAATCAGAATTATACAAGCCAGTGTAAGGCCAGAATGAGATTATGAGTCAGGAATGACTTCTGCTACCAACCTGAATTTAGGGTAGGGGAGTGGAGATGGAAAGAGAAGGGGATGGATGAGAGTCAGGTTATACTGTGGGTGGTGGTAATGCTCTGTGCTGAGTTTCCTTCCCTCCATCCCCCCCTTTACTACTCCCCCTCTCCCTGTGGCAGGTGGTGTGTGATGAAAATGGCTCCCGGGGATTTGGTTTTGTCCACTTTGAGACGCAGGAGGCTGCAAATCAAGCAATCAACACTATGAATGGGATGCTGCTTAACGACCGGAAAGTGTAAGTAGCCCTTGGGGGAGGGTGATAGTGCTGGGGGTATTGAGGGGAAAAGCTGGGATTGGAACCTCTATCTATCCCTGGATCTCCAGTTGAGGTTTCATGGCAAGAACATTTGCATGTTTCCTCCCTTATTAGACTATAAACTTCCTGAGGGCAAGGACTATTTGTTTCTTCTTTTCTCTCTCTCTCTTTTTTTTTTTAGTCCACTGTGCTTAGAAGAATCTTTGGTATATTTTTTGTTTTGTTTTTTTCAGACTCTTTGTGACCCCATTTAGGCTTTTCTAGGCAAAGGTACTAGTGTGGTTTGCCATTTCTTTCTAAAGCTCATTTTACAGATGAGGAAACTGAGGCAGATAGGGTTAATGACTTAACCCAGGGTCACAGAACTAATAAGTGTCTGAGGCCAGATTTAAATTCAGGTCTTCTGACTCCAGGCCCAACCCTCTATCCACTGAACCACCTAGCTGCCTAGTACATAGTAGGTCCTTAAAAGTGCTAGTGGACTGACAGATTTTAAGGTTTAGTTTATAAAGCATTTTCTTTATAATTAGACTATGAGAGTAGATGTGTATTAGTCCCAGTGTTACAGATGAGAAAACTAAAGCTTAGAGAGGAGGTATCAGAGCTAGCTTTTGAACCTAGGTCTCCTGACTCCAAATCCAAGGCTCTTTCTACTGTATCATTGTCCTTGCCTAAGTGGCCTAGTCTAATGGGAAGATAAAGGATATATAAAAGAAGTGATGTGATAAGTTAGTGATAGCACAGTGTGTGGGGGGGAGGGTGAGAGAAGGGAGTGGATGAGGCTTGTGCTGGTAAAAGTTTAACATCCAGCTCTCCAAAAACCAAAAAAAAAGGAAATGTATACTTGATACACTTTTATCTTTAATCTGCATTATTACCAAATTTTCCTTTGCTTTCTTAAGTCTGGACAATGAACAAAACAATAAATCAAGCCCTGATTTGTAGTATTTACTGATTTCTGAGATGTAAACTGAACATTTTAATAGTTGGCTCTTGAGAGACTGTATTAGTGGAGAGAACCCTGAGGGAAATTAGATAAGGCTTTATGGAAGAAGTGGTATTTTGGCTGAGCCTTAAAGGATAGGGGATAGTGGGGGTGAGGGGAATGAGGAAGGGCATACCAGGTGTTTTAAGAGTTCATTGAATTTGTCTGTAACCCCTATGGATTCCATGCAGAGGAAGCCGCTGCATCCTTTAGTCCCATGGGTCAGGCGATCTTTTGGCAGGAAATTGGCCGAAGAGGAGTAAGGGGTGTTATGGAAAGGAGGGCCAACCCTGGTTCCTTCCTTCCTGCCTCTCCTGTAACTTTGAAAGCTATGGCAGTGTGAGGCGGAGCTGGGGGGGGAGTCAGAGAAGGTGTTCTGAAGGAGGAGCCTTGAAAGATGGGGAAGAATTACGTAGGCCTGGACTTGTGACCAAGGCGAAGCTGACTTTGAGGACTCGCCCTTTGCAGTTTCGTGGGCCACTTCAAGTCTCGGCAGGAACGGGAGGCAGAGCTGGGGGCTCGAGCGCTGGAGTTCACCAACATCTACGTCAAGAACTTCAGAGACGACGTGGATGATCTGTGCCTTCAGGAACTCTTCTCCCAATTTGGTAAGAGCTAGGGGCTGGCTGGACTGGTGGGAGGTCTCTGGGCCCTCCCAGCCCATGGAACCTGACATCTTATTACTCATTCTCAGGAAAGACTCTCAGTGTGAAGGTGATGGTTGATGAAAATGGCCATTCTCGAGGCTTTGGTTTCGTCAACTTTGAGAAGCACGAGGAAGCTCAGAAGGTGAGGAGCTCCCTTCCTTGTGTTGGGTCCCCAGTGGGGGCCCCTGCTGATGAGGTCTGGAAGATCCAAGCACTGGATGCTCTGCCTCCGTTTCCTTTTGAGAGATGCTGGACTTGACAGTTGTTCCGTTGTGATAACTGATACAGCCTAGGGGTCTATATCCCCCCATATTCCATGTTCTGTACCGTGGCTTCCATAGACTCCTGGAATATCAGATGGGTAGCACCTTAGAATCTTGAATGGCAGAGCTGGAAAGGGACCATGTTGTTTTTGGAGGAGGTCCCGTCCTGTCATTCTCACTATAGGGAATTTTCAGTGTGAAAATGTCCACCAAATATGGGACAGTGGAAAGAGCACTGAAGTCCCAAGATCTGGGTTCAAATCCCACCTCCGTTCTTTCCTCAGCAGAGTGAACTTGGTCGGGTCTCTTCACTTCTGTATACCTCTTCTGTAAAATGAGGGGGTTGAACTAAATGGCCTTTGAGGTGTTCTTTAACTCTCACTCTGTGAGCTACAAATTTACCTGCAAACTAGGGTTCTAGAAAGTTGCCTGGAGGCCTTGAAGTCAAGTAACTTGGCCGTGGTTATCCAAGTCTTCCTGACTTACAGGCCTGTTCCCCCTATCTATAGTGTCCTGTGGCCTCTCAGAGGGATTTTTTAAAAGGAGGGAAGGGTTACTTGGAAATTGAAAATGACTGAGCTGGGACTAGAACCTAGGTCTCCTAACTTCTTGTCTCATGTTCCTTTTACTATGCCATAGCTGTTTCCCCAGTAATATGGAAACCAAGGTAGATATGCTCTTGCCTCCCTCTTTCTGGGAGGGATTTAGGCAGGGACATGCGGAGAAGGTGTTGCTGTGGCCCTGTCCAGTTCCTAGATACTGACCACTTTTTCTTCCAAAGGCTGTGAGTAGCATGAATGGGAAGGAGCTCGGAGGTCGGGTCCTGTATGTTGGACGGGCCCAGAAGAGGACAGAGAGGCAGGGTGAGCTGAAGCGTAGATTTGAGCAGATGAAGCAGGAGAGAGTGAACCGCTACCAGGTAAGGGGAAACTGGGCAAAGGAGAGGACTTGACCAAAAATGATTGAGAAAGATTTATGGAAAGGATAATTTGAGCTATTTGGACAGGGTGTGCCTTTTCCTGGGAGACCCAACTCAAGAAATGCATGGTTGGTGAAGTCAGCTTCTTTCTTCTTAGTGTAAATGCAATGGGTTGGTGGTTGGGGGAGTATTGTATTGTAGGTAGAGGACTTGGGCCCATTGACAGGAAACTGTGGAGGACTGAGAGGAGGCCTGGCAGGGCAGTCAAGAAGTCAGTAGTCATTTTGCATGTTTGGAATTTTCAGTACCCTACCTTTAACCTAGCTGGTGTACCAGTCACCTTTCACTGCTGATGATGATGATGATGATAACTAGCTTTTATATAGCACTTTGATATTTGCAGAGTGCTTTATAAATAACATCTCACTTCACAACAACTCTTCGAGGTAGGTGCAATTATCATCCCCATTTTGCAGATGAGGGAACTGAGACAAGGAAGTTAAATAACTTGCCCAGAGTTACACAGCTAGTAAGTATCTGAGGCTAGATTTGAACTTGGGTCTTCCTGACTCCCAGGTGTAGCCTTCTATCCTCTGTACCATCTCACTGCCTCTTAATGATCAAGATTACCCATGAAGATATGTTGGAAAAAAACGGTTGGGGGTTGAAAAATTAAAGGAGCCAAAGGCTTATAATCCATCCACAAGCAATTTATTAGGCACCAATTTTATGCACTGGAAGTACAAACACAAATGAAAACAATTCTTGCCCTCAGGGAGCTTACATTTCTACTGAGAAGGGAACACATTGACAGATAAGGAAATACATACAAAGTAAATAACTGCACAATGGGGGGGAAGGGAATGAGGAAAGGCACCTTTCCATGGATAAGGGTGAACTGGGCTGAGCCTTGAAGGGAGTTAGAGGTTTCAAGAAGGAATGATAAGTGGAGAGAGCATAAAAATGGTAGTGGTATCATGGGTCAGGGAATAGCAAAGCAGGCCAGTCTGGTTGGAGTACAGAGTATGGAAGTGTGAGTAATGTACCTAGATATCTTATGGCTGAGGCCATGTTAGGAAGAGGTTTAAAAGCCAAACAGCAATTTGTATTTTCGACATATACACTGTATGTATAATGGCAGTGGGGAGCCACTGAAGCCTTTTGAAGGAAATGACGTGATCAGAGCTGTGCTTTAGAAATATCACCTGGGCAGCTATGTGGAGGATAGATTGGTGAAGTGAGGGACTGGATGGGTGTACGGAGACCATTTAGGAGATATTTATTAGGGCCTGTGCTAGAATGGTAGTTCTATGAATAGGAAAATGGAGATGGATGACTTTTGGATTGCTTAAAAGTCTAATACTTAACATATCTTGAATAATTTCTTCGAGAAGAAAAACTGAATATGGTGAGCACCAAATAGTATTAATTAAAAAAGAGAGAAATGAACTATATCTTAAAAAGAAATAACTAGTTAGCTTTTATGGGAGTCATCTTAGAATCAGTTGCCTTAATGCAATCATATCATTAGCTACAAAAGTCAAAATCAATACCTAATTAGAAAAAAACTACAGTGTGAAGTTATAACAGCTTCAACCTGGCCTGCTGATTTTCTGAAATGGGAAATGAATGAAAGAGAAGACATGGACTTTGATAATCACTGTTTCCTATAAGCCTCTGACATGTTACAAGAGTATCAGCAATTCCCCCAAGGATACCAAGAAGCACCCAGAAACCCAGACCTTAGCCAACAAAGACCATATCTCTTTGCCTGGCAGAAAGACAAGGTGGCCAAGAACAAAAGAAATTTAGGAATTCATCCACAAAATTTGGTAAGATTAGTTTGCTGGAAGATAATGCTTAATATCTCCACAAATTAGCCAAGAGCAATGTGGGAAGGATATACTTGTCTGCAGAAGGCATAGCAACTGAGCCAAGCTATCCCTAAAGTATTCCAGTGAAAGCTGAAAGGAAGACAGAGCTCTGCCAACATATCAATAACCATATTTTGGTCAGTAACAATGGAACCAATACATTTCAACTCCTTGATGTGAAGAAACATAGAAAGTAACTAAAAGGACAAATTCAGGAAGAGTGTCTAGACCAACTACATGCAAAAAAAATCCACGCTGGAGATGATTTTGAAAAATTTGAGGGATCAGCTTTCAAAATATCTGAAGGAAGGGAATAGGGAATGTTTGGAGTAAGGAGAAGCATGAGATATACCCAGAAAGTGATGGTATATGCCCAACAAAGTGATGTGAAGCACAATCATGGACACTGTCCAGGGAATTGGCCAAATGGAAAAAGGCTTCCATGGAAATGGTGAGGTCTTCCACATGCTACTATTTGCAGATGACATTGATCTGCTTGCCTCCAGCCCAGAATACCACAGGGTTCATGAGATCATGAGCCCCTCATCTACATGAAAAAAACCAAATGGATATAGAAGGCCTCCTATCTGAATGAAGAATGTTGAGTTGGTCCCATCATTCTATGTCATAGATAGGCCCTGTAGTTGGAGGGTGAGCTGGATTCAGAGAGGAACAGTAAGAGTAGTGAGCATTTTAGTTTGAGAATTGTGTAATGCTTCCAAAGATCCCAAGTTACCTCAAACAAAAACTTTTTTTTTTTAAACACTGATATTCTTTTGGTGATGGATGATGTGTGGCTGCAAATCATGGACCACCAGTCTTCCTTCTCCCCCAAATTAAAATTTTGCATGACCCAGAGCGCCACAGAAATATGCACAGTGTGCATAAATAGCCTTTGGCATGTTTCCAGCAATGACTTGGGCACAAGACGTGACAGGAGATCTTTCTTTTAGGAAATGCAAGATGAATCAGTCACATGGTGAGGTTGAGATTTACCCGATGGTCCATTCAGGAGCTACATTGTGCAAATGTAACGTTAAAATAAATACCTGAAGGAAAGCCTTGGCATGGCATGGTATGGCTAGGTCACATTTTGTACCATTGGGGAGAATACCCCACCCACACTGATGAGGCCACAGATCTGTTGAGTTGTACCTCTCTGCCTTTTGCCCATTCTCCAAAGCAACCCAGCATCTGGTATGCCTGAGTATGGAGTAAGGGGCTCTGGATCTGGACAAACCATTATCTCTGGGCCTCAGTTTTCTACTCTGCAAAATGAGAGGATTTGGATTGGATGATTTCTAAGATTCCTTCCATCTGTGATCCCTAAGAGATGGACCCACCTTTTTTCTGGTGGTACAGGAGCCCAAGGGCTCAAACAGGGACCCTTTCCATGGCACATCTAGTTCTGATAGATGCACAGATCTACCCACCAGATGCTTAGAAATCCCAACCCCTCCCTCCATCAGCCTCCTAAACCTGCCCACTCCACACCTACCTTGGCTTTTCTCTCCAAATTGGGATATAGAGTGAGTTAGCCCAGCCTGAAAAAGGATGGGCTGAGATCTCTCCTTTCCTCTCAGTGGCATTGAGTACATATTAGGGGTTGGGGAGTGGGTTTGGAGCTCAACAGGAAGCAAAATTGTGGAATCTCTAGAATTGCTTTGCCTCTGCTGCTTCTCCTCCCGGATGTCCTGGGCCCTCATTGTAGCTGAAAGTTTCTGAGAATTTTAACAATTTATAAAGCATTTTTCTCACAACTACTATGTGAGTTAGATGGTGTAGCAGTTATTACCCTCCTGCTCAGAAGTTGTAGAAGCAGAATTTGAACCCTGGTTTTCTAGCTGCAAATCCACTTTTCTTTCCATTGTACTCTTCCCATCCAAGCTTATCTATCTTTCTCGTTCCCCTTAGCTGAGCAGCAGTCACAAGCTTATTGGCAGTGACTGGTTGAAGAGTTGCCAACAAGAAATTTAAATTTTTAGCAGGTGTCTTCTGGACACAATGCCTAAACTCTGAACTTGAACATTTTCGTTGTCTGGCATCTGCATTCCTATGCGTTGGGCAGGCCAAGGAGGGAGAAAATACACCATTGGGGAGAGTGAAAAAAAATGTAGCCAAATTACTTTCCTTAGGAAGTTGAGGGAAAGAGGTAGAGGGAGGGGAGCTGGTAGCTGTTAGGCTCTTTCCTTAAAGTCCCTGTCCTCACTTTTCCAGGGTGTGAACCTGTATGTAAAGAACCTGGATGATGTCATTGATGATGAGAAGCTACGGAAGGAGTTCTCTCCGTATGGCGTGATCACCAGTGCCAAAGTAAGGGCAACCTTAGGCCATGGGACTGGGGTGCAGTGGGGAGATGAGGCTACCATTCCCTCCACTTCCAAATTGAGGGTGGGGATAATTTGGGGATTTAAGGCAGAAATGGCCTGGTTCAGGACTGTGGCTTACACCCTATGAAAGTCATATCCATCCATAAACCTTATACTAGGTATAGTAGAAGGGAAATGAATAGTCCTTGCTCTAAAGAGGGAATAATCTACATTGCAATGAGTCTGACTCCTGGTCAGCCCTATAATTATTTGGCTACCTAAAGTGGGTCTGATCTCATGTGGCCTCAGGCACCCAAACCTGGCTAGCCTACCATAGAAGTAGGGTCCTGGGTTATTGTATAGTGTTTGCTTAAAGTAAAACCTCTCTGTGTATTCAGGGGCCAGAGATATAGATTGCTTAGAAAGAAAGAGTCCCACTTTTTGTGAGGAGTGAGGGGGTCTTCATGGGATGAGAGGTGACATTCCAATTCCAAACCAATATTTTAATGACCAGACAGTAGAAACAGCTCCTTCTATTAAGAGGTCAGGTTGATTTCCCAGGGCATCTCCAACTCTCTCAGCCTGTTACCAATTATGGAAGCAGAGCCTCCTACACCCTCAGCCCTGTGCTCGATGTTGTAGGGAATTTAGAGAAGGAAAGGACAAGGCCTGTGCCTTCATGAAGCCCACAGCAGATTCACAGAATGTTAGAGCCAGAGTATCATGGGACTTGGTGGTGTCTTATGTCCTAGAGGAAATAGGCCCAGACAGGGTAAATGACTGGTTAATTGGTAAAAAGCCAAGACTAGAACCCAGCTCTCCTGGCTCCCAGTCCTGGGGTTCTTTACACCACCATGTTGCCTGTCATTATAGCTGTAGCTAAAATGAGATTAGTATAAGAATTTTCAAACCAAAATGGATACAAATTCATTTAAACAAAGAGGCAGTGTGATATAATTGGAAAGACCCTCAACGTAGATCTACCTGGGGTTCTCTTCCTGACTCTCACTGGTTTTATGACCTAAGGCAAATCACATCCCCATTTTACAGATGGTGAATGATCCCTACCAACTTCTGAGGACTATTGTGAGGATCAGATGAAATAATGGGCATGAAAGCACAGGTCACAACACTCTGTGGTCTGAACCAGATAAAAATGTAATTGGGAAACAGTTCACAAAATAAAAATCAGATAAAACATAGATAACATTACATTTTAAAACTAGGTCAGTATGGGACCCACAATGATCCTTCTGTACAGATTAGTGACCCTTGTTTCTATTGGAGTTTGACATCAATAATCCGTGGTATTGACATAGGCATTAGAAGCAGAGGGGATGGAACCAGCTAAAATGAGAGGTTAATTCACATAACTTTAGAATAGTGGTTTCCAATCTTTTTGCTATTTTTAAAAAAGGCTTCATTGTGAATCCTAGAATGGGAGTCAGGAGACCTAAGATCTAAACTCAGCTCTATTAATATATGTGATCTTGGAGAAGTCACCTAAATTAATTCTCTGTGCCTTAGTTTCCCCCTGTAAAATGAGGGAGTTAACCTAGGTGATCAGACTCTATGGCCACTGCCAACTGACATTCTTTGAGTCTGAGGCAAGACTTACAGACCAGGTCATGCTAAGATGTAGGTAAACATTGGTTTATCTGATGCCCACATTTGTGAAAAGATAAGGCATGAGTCCCTGAGGAACCTGCACGAGCCAAGTGTGGGGCTTGAGGGGTCTCACAAGGGCCACATTCCCAGAGCATCACTCCAGCCCATGCTTATATCTTTTCTTTCTACCCTGAGCTCCTTCAACCTTGGTCCTCAGGCTATTTGGGGGGCACTGAGCATAATCAGCCTGGGATTGAGTTAACTTTGCATGTGTGTCTCCTTAGCTAGCTCCTTGGGGGCGAGGGATCGGACTTTATATGACTTCCCCTCGGTGCCCAGCTCAAAGCCTTGCCCATGTTAGCTTTTTAGGAAAACCTCACTGGCTGATATGATGAACCTGAGGGAGGAGGGAAGTGTGGCCTGGGATCCGTCGTCCCTTCGGCATCCCCCCAAGTGGACCTTGTCTTGTCTTGCTTCTAGGTGATGACAGAGGGTGGCCACAGCAAGGGGTTTGGCTTTGTGTGTTTTTCCTCCCCAGAAGAGGCTACAAAGGCCGTGACGGAGATGAATGGACGGATTGTCAGCACCAAGCCCCTCTATGTGGCCCTGGCCCAACGCAAGGAAGAGCGCAAGGCCATCCTCACCAACCAGTACATGCAACGCATCTCTGTCCTCCGGAACATAAATGGCCCCATCTTTCCCCAACCCACCAATTATTTCCTGCCTGCCATCCCCCAGGTGACTGCAATCTTCCAGGTATTTATCCTTCCCAAGGGACTGTGGTCATGTATTCCTTTTGTCCCCCTGAATTCACTATATTACCCCCTGGGCTCTCTACTTTTAGACATGGAAGGAACCTTAGAACATAAAACATCAGGGCTAAAGATGATCGAGTGAGGAAGCTGAGGTCCAAAATTTTAAAATAATGGCCAGGGTCACGTAGCAGTTTATTGTCAGAGCCAGGTCAGGATGAGAACCCAACTTTCGTGGTCTGGTGTTATTTCCTTTCTGGCCCACTATTAAAATGGTATGACCCTATATCATGGTGTTTAAGCCAAACTTTAAGGCAGTGTGGTCCATTTATTTCTCAATCGTCTCTGACTTTAGAATGATACATGGGGTATGTGGGCAGCTGAGCCACCTGTCTCATTTTAACACCTTGTGAAATAAGCAGGCAGGTGGGTACAGGCCTCTTTCTGTGGTAGGAGGCAAAAGTGGACTGAGTCACCTATTTACCTACTTAACTGAGAGGTTTAAGAGGAAGAAGAGAAGGATGAGAAGAGATGGGGGTTTGTGTAGTTTGTACTCTTCAGGATACTTTACTCTTGTGAGGATAACCTGCAGTTCTGCGTCCAAGGGCTCCTACCTTTCTGGAGCTTCTGGCCTTTCCTGGGCTCTCACCACTTGTTTCTGGCCCCCTGCTCCAAGGGAATCCCCATCCAAACTCCTGTTCTGTGTTATGGCCCTTGGGCTCACCAAGAGGCAAAGCAATACAGTACAAACAGCACTAGGTTTGGTTGGAATCAGGACCTAGGTTCAAATTCCAGGTCTGCCATTTATTAGTTATGTGACTTTGGTCAAGTTGATTAACTTCCTCAGTCTGTTTCTTCTCCTATAAAATAAATGTGGGCTGGGGGGGAGGGTTAGATGATCTCTAAAGTCTAGTTGTGAGTTCTGTGATCCTGTGGCTTGTGCTTCCTGTCTCCACAGTCACCTACCCGAGCAACCTTCTACAGTCCCAGCAGCATGGCCCCAGTTCGACCTGCCCCCAGGTGGACCAGCTTTTCTCCTAGGTCTTCGTGTGAGTGTTTCCCCCACTCCTTGTTTTCCACTGCACCTCTTCTCTTCTCCATCTCCTTTTTATCCTCTTTAACTTGTACACCTAGTGTAGCCATTCTCTGGTTCTTCCCTTTGTTATTTTGCATCTCCTCTTCGCCATCACTGACTTCTAGGAGTCTCTGGTTTCTGCACTGGTACAAAGTGCCTGCCTTTGATAGCTTGTTCTTTTCTTGCCAGCCACACCCCGGCACTCCATCTCCAACATCAGTACTGTCCAGCAGGCCTCTACTCAGGTGCCCCGGGCAGGGCCCCACACCCAGAGAGTGGGTAAGTTGGGACTGTCACTTCCTCCCACCCTGGTCTTGTATAGATCCCCGTGGAGGGTAGAGAGATCAACAAGAAGGTTCACTTTTCCCCAAAGGTGAATGTGGTATTATTTGACTGAGAAGGGCCAGGTCATCTGCCCTTCATGTTTACCTGGGAACAAGAATGTACCTGCTCCTCACAAGTCTCCCCATAAGGAAGGAAGGAGCTTGGTTTTCCTTGGCATTCCTGGTAGATGGAGTGGTCCCCCAGTTAGGCCTCACTCTTACTGTTCCATTCCTCCCATCTGCACCCTCCTCCCCATACCCACCACAAGCTGCCAGGTCCACGTAAGGAAAACCTTAACCGGAGCTAAAAGTAGAATAGCTGTCTTGGGAGATAGACAGCTTCCTGCCACTGGATGGCTGCAGGTGAACTAGTCCCCAGGGCCTAGTGCCTGGGGTACATAGTTGGTGTTTAATAAATACTTGTTGACCTAACTTGTAAAAGGATTTCTATCCAGGTACTGGACTAGCTGGCTTCAACGTCCTTTCCAGCTCTGAGATGCTTTGATTCTTAGTGTTTCTCTTTATGTATTACAGTCAATATTGGGACCCAAACTATGGGAACTGGGTGTCCAGGCTCCCCGGGCCACGCCATCGCCCAGTACAAGTACTCCTCAGCTGTGCCTAATGCACATCAGGTAAAGGGTTTGTCCAGGCCCCCAGACTGGTCTGAGTCCAGGCTTCCAGAATCATGCTGGGCTGCTTACTTGCTTGGTACTGCAGTTTCCACATCTGCAATTTGGCCATTATGTTTTTATATGTTTTTCTTTTCCTTTCTCTCTCAGACACTTTGTTCGAAACGTTGCTCAAAAGCCACCTCTTCTAGGGATTTCTTCCATGTTGAAACTAACTTAATTGATCATTGCTTTGTGTCCCCAGTAATTATAAACGTTAGAGCTGGGGAGGAAGGACCTTTTGGAACAGAGATACTTAACCTTTTTTTAAAAATTCATGGGCCTCAGGTTGAGTGACTTTTCATGTCTCATTCCACTTCTTATAGAGGAAGAAATTGAGGCTGCAAGGCTCAGTGGCCCTACCTAAAGTCAGCAGTGGTTGTTGAGGTCTAGGTGTAGAACCTGGCTTCTTTTTTCAACCCCATGCTGCCTTTGTAGTTACATAATTTGGTTTCTACTTATTAGTCCTTTTCCTTTCTCTTAAAATGAGGGACATTGTATATGGAATGATTTTTAAAACGCTGTTGTCTTCCATGTGTCTTTTCACATCACACACAGTATGAGCTTTGCCCAATCTCCTTGTCCCTGGTAGGCAAAGCTTTGCAGGCAGGTGGTTCTGATGTTAATCTGTAGTTAGTAATGTGCCTGTGTGGGGTTTATTTCCAGGTAATGGAGCCAGCTGTGCATATCCAAGGGCAGGAGCCTTTAACTGCATCTATGTTGGCTTCAGCCCCACCCCAGGAACAGAAGCAGATGCTTGGTATGTGCACAGCTCTTTCCTGGTAGTATTGGGAGCAGTTCGGGCCTGGGTCTGGATCCGAGTGGGAAACTTGCCTTGATATTAGTGTAAAAACCGTTAGCTTCTGGACCATGGGATTGAGAAACCAAATGCTTGGATTTAAATCCCAACTCTTGTTATCTATTACCTGGGCAACCTTGGGCAGGTTACTTCTCTTGACCTCAGATTCTCAGCTATAAAACAAGGGAGTTGAATTATTATCTCTAGAGTCCCTTCTGGCTCAAATCTCCTATATCTCCTACTTGCATTTTGACCAGCAGTATTTTAATTATCATAACAGTAGATGCTTCTCCTTGTCTCCCCGTCACTATCTCGGCTACTTTAAAGGCAGTTTGGTGTAGTGGAAAGAACATTGGGCATTGTGTGATTCTAGGAGGATCACTTTTATCATCTGTAAAGAGGAGATGCTATTTATGCTGGTGGGTCTGCCTGTCACAATTCTCTCCCTAGACCAATCTATCCTCTCTTCTGCTGCCATAGTGATTTTCCTAAAGGTCAGGTCTGACCATGTCACCCCCACCCCCCAGTCAGTAACCTCCAGTGACTCCCTATCACCTCTAGGATCAAAACCAAACTCCTTTATTTGGCATTCAAAGCCCTTCATAACCTATCTACCCACTCCCTGCCCCCCCCCAGTCTTCTTACACCTTACTCCCCGACATGTACTCTTCGATCCTGTGATGCTGGCCTCCTTGCTGTTCCACGAACAAGATACTCCGTCTCTCGGCTCTGGGCATTTTCTCTGGCTGTCCCCCATGCCTAGGATGCTCTCCCTCCTCGTCTCCACCTCCTGGCTTCCCTCAAGCCCCAACTGAAATCTCACCTTCTACAGGAAGCCTTTCCCAATCCATCTGTAATTCCCAATCCTTCCTTCCCTCTGTTATCTCCTGCTTATCCTTTATATATACACCTTGTTTGTACATATTTGTTTGCTTGTTATCCCCACCCCCTTGCCCCCCAATTAGATTGTGAGCTCCCTGAGAGCAGGGTTTGTCTTTTGCTCTTTTGTTTTTTTATATCCCCAGCACTTAGTATAGTGCCTGGCACATGGTACATAAGTACTTAATAAATGTTTATTGACTGAATGACTGGATACTGCTTACCTCATGGGGTGCTGTAAGGAAAGTGCTATGGAAATGGGAACTAGTATTTTTGTTCTTTATTACTAAAGGCTTTCATTTCCACACCTCCTGTCTCCTTAAATAGCGTCTGGCCTCCTTCCAGGATGGGCTTGGGAATGGATGAGAACCTTCCTTAGCTCACGTCTATGAAGTTGTTGTTAACCCTTGGGCTTGTGGGGAGGACCCTCCTGTCTACTCCAGGATCACTGGCTTCTGCCTCCCTGAATTGTCATGCAAGTGGGGAAAAGTGCTGGTCTTGGCAACAGAAGACCCAAGCTGGAGTCCTGTTTCAGACACTTAATAGCTGAACTAACTGAGCAAGTCTCTTCACCTATTCTCACATGTATAAAGTGGGGCTAACAACATCAACACAAAGAAGCAAGCATGGCATGATGGCTGAAGAGCTGCTCTGGGTTCATGTCCCACCAAGACATATACTGGCTGAGTGACTTGGGATGAATTACTCTAATTTCTCAGGACCTCTGGACACTTATTAAGTCTAAGGTACACAACAGTTGCTTATCTGTACTTGGGGGAAGCTCCCTCCCTGCTTTAGTAATGAAATCACAGGTCTAGGCCAAAAAGAAAAAAAAATGACTGTACTTCAGAAGGTTGTTGAGGAAGATGCCTTTATCAACCTTAAAAACATTTTAGAAATATTAATTATCCCTTCAAGGAATCCAGGAACTCATAAACACAGCTACTTCGTCCACTGGTGCAGGTTATAACCCCACTATGCCTTCTCCTCTTACTCTTATCTTGGTTTTTCTGTGGAGCTTCCTGAAGTATCTAGACCCTGCCCTCTCTGGTTCTAATAGTTCATGGATAGCAGTAGTAAAGCCATTCTAGCTTTGCTCTTACTACATGATTGGCTCACGTTACCTTCCCTGGTCTTTTCCACTACCACTATTCAAACATAAGTCACAATTGGTAATACGCTATACCCTGACACTACCATGTACTTCTCCATCACCTTTTAGGTCATCTGTAATTTTGATGCTTTTGAGATTGTGGCATTCCATGATTCAAGGCTATATGGCATAACTGGGAGATTAATACTATCATAAAGATGGGCTTATTCAGCAGTGAGTAGTTTGGGATCATGGAAAGTGCTAGTTTCCTAAATGTGATCTGGTCCAATTTCTTCCATTTATTGAACTTTAAGCCCGGGTCACCAACCATAAGGGGTACCTGAGACGTATGATCTGATGACCAGCTCAATGGTTGCCCGTCTAAATGCATGTCATAATTTGGACAGTGGGTATTTTTAAAAATCTATTTGCTTTATCATAGGTGGAGCTAGGCCATTCTCCTAATTAACTCTGAATTTCACTGCAAAGTCACTGGTGTTCTTGGGTTCAGTGTAATTTGCCCAATAAATCCACAAATGAGTATCTGAAGAACTTTGCCACCTATAGAAAATCCTTTTTCCATCTGGACTTGACCCAGCACACCCTTCCTAACCGTAGCACACATTTTTGATAAGCATGTCTCCTTTGCTATTCACAGGATTATTAGTTGTTTTTGTTTTTCTTGCTTTCTGTTTTTTATTATTTTTTTGGTGGGGCGATTGGGGTTAAGTGACTTACCCAGAGTCACACAGCTAGTGAGTATGAGTTGTTTTTGTTTACTGGTAATATAGACTCTAAAATGTCAGATGCATAGCTACAGTGATGGAAGGCTTCAGGGAAAGTGGTCACTTAGCAGAAGCAGAAAGCCAAGTATAGCCTGACATAACCCTAGACCTTAGGGTTTGAAGAATCAAGTAGGTTAGGTCCCATGGCCCAAAATTTCATAGGGAAAAACAACCCATAAGCAATAGAGTGCTATCAGGAATGAAACTTAGAAGATAAAGAGAAGCAATTCTGTTGAGGAAGAACTACTGAAAGTGGACAGACAGGGATGAATACACATCAACCAAGTGTTTAAAAGCATGTACTAAAGATGATGGAAGCAATGGATACCATTGTGTTGTCCCATGAGAATAATGTCAAGAATGCTTAGCTTGGAATGAGCTAAGGCATTTGAGGAAAACTGAGGATAACAAAAAAAGATTTTTAAAGCTATGCTGGAGGAAAGGGGGAAAAGATGACAAAGTGGGATAACCAACAACATAGAAAACAGGGTTAATTCCTCTTATTTTGCTTTTGTTTTCTAAGCACAGCAAATTTTGGACTGAAAAAGAAATCCCAAATAAGCAGATAGTAAGAAACTGACTAGCTGCCCTGCATTAGTTCAGATCACGAGTGCCAGATAAATAATAGCAGCTAACATTTATATGGCATGCAGAGGTTTGCAAAGTATGTTACATTTGTTATCTCATTTGGTCCTTTCTGTAACTGTGAAGTAGGTTCTTATATTACCCCCATTTTGCAAATGGGGAAGCAGAGACTGAAAGCAGTTATATGACTTGCCCAGGGTCACAAAGTGTTTCTGAGGCAGCATTAGAGCTTGCGTCTTCCTGACTGATTCCAGGGCCTGCTTGCACTATCTAGCTGTGACAGATGAACTACATATACCAGGACAGATAGGGGTGGCCTGAAAGAAATGGTGATTATTATTACTGAGCCACTGCTATTTTTATTGAAAATGTGTGGGCTAGCGAAGTGGATTTAAGATTTACTGACTAGCTAGTCAAAAAAGCTGACATCTATTAGATGGCCTCTGAGTTTTCCTATCACTCAGATTCCATGATTCTTGTATGATCTTGTCAAAGAGGAAAACTTGCTTAAGGAGAATTAGACTTTGATCTGCCAAAGAGAATTTTTTCTTAACACGTATAGCCAAATTTTATAATCTTTACACTTCACAACCAATTGCATGACTTTTAAGATGCACTCTATTGAACAAATTCATCCGCAAAAGCTTGCCTCTTCCCACCTCCTCTTTATCAAGCATACCTTAGGGGAATGAGTGAGCTAACAAGCAGATGGCTTGGTGTGGATACTGCTGTGCTTTTTGGTAGCTAGCTTTTGGTAACAGCATTCTATGATCTTTTATACTCAAGGAAATCTTTCCCTCCAAGAATTCAAACCAACCTGAGACTCTAAAATTTTCCTCCCTCTCAGGTAGATTTCTTCTACATTCTTTCCAACTTTTAGTTGCTCTTTCCTCGGGTCCTAAGGTGGTGGATTGGGTCCAAAAGTCATGCTTTCATTTTCATCAATTATGAATATAGAGTACCAAGTAAATACTGGCAGATGTTTCACATCCACCTGTTTTCCTCACAGTTTTGTTGATAAATGTGCCTGGGGTGGGACAACTGAGTCTTAGCCAAGCTTTCTGTAACCCTATTTTTCACTTTTGCTAGTTTTCTAATGCACCTATTCACTCACTAGCTTCCTCTCTAACGTTCTCCAGTGGAATTTGTACTCTAAACCCACGTTGTCCTTTAGCTGCTTTTTTGTTTGGAAAAGAAACCAAGTGTTTGCTGGCTAAGGAAGTTTCTGGACTCTTAGCTTCCTTGTGACTATTTTTGATCAGGTAAATGTCTAACAGTGATCATCGGAGTCGATGCTTTAGTTATCAGTTGGAAATTTTCTGTTGGTAGCTATTTACATAGGTCAAATTGACCCTTTCCAAGTAGATGAGACTGCCTTCTCATCTTTATTCTAAGTGTACACAGACTAATTCTGGAAGCCCCTTATGTCAATAACCGGTAACTACTTTAGACACTGTTGTTGCTGCATCAGCAGGGGAGGTTCCAAAGAGTTCTACCACCCTTCTCAGGTGAAGGTCACAAGCTTGAGGCCTAATCTGGTTCCATAAAAGGACTGTGGAATTGGGGTAGCATGGGAATAACAGCTGATTCTTATGTGGTAAGTTTTACACAGCACTTGAGAGACAATGCTACTGCTGTTCCCATTTTCCAGATGAAGAACAAGGGGGCAGAGACAGGGCTGATGGAGGGTATAGCATGCATTGGGGTATCAGCCAGTCTGGGTCTATGCAGTATTCCCCCTGCTGTTTTGAGCAGGTGACAGACTCTACCCACTCATTTATGGGATACACGCTCAGCTGGCTGGCAAGATCACTGGCATGCTGCTGGAGATTGACAACTCAGAACTGCTGCTGATGCTGGAGTCTCCAGAATCTCTCCATTCCAAGGTAGGTATTTGGGGCTCTGAGAAAGTGGGTGCTCATGAACATCTTGTGTGTGGACCAGCATGTAGCAGTCAAGGCAGTGCCTGTGCTACTGGGAAGGGAATGTCTTGCTCAAGGATTTTTGGAGCCCCCAGAATAGCACTCATAGTCTCTTTGGTTGTGGGACAGGGAGGGGAATAAACATCTATATAGCACCTACTATGTGCCAGGCACTGTGGTGAGCACTTCACAAATATCTCCTCACAAAAACTCTGCAAGGCAGGTGCTGTTATTATCCCCATTTTACAGTTGAGGAAATCAGGGCAAACAGAGATTAAGTAACTTTACCAGGGTCCCATAGCTAGTATCTGAGTTTTGATGTGAAGGCAGATCTTCCTGACTCCGGGCGCGGTACTCTATCCACTGCACCACCGGATGCCTAAGGTGTGTGACTAAAACATACCATGGGAACCTGTCCTTAGAAATTAGCCAAAGGCAGGGTAGGGTAGCAGCAGCTTTCCCAGGAAGGTATATGGGTGATCTTAACTTTCCTCTCCCAGATTGAAGAAGCAATCGCTGCACTCCAAGCACAAGAGGTCACGGAGCTGCCCAAGACATATGTACACTGAGGCCCCTGTGAGTCTAGGCCTAATCAAACATGGTGGCTAGGGATGTGGCCCTGGAAGGGAGGGTAGTTATGGGGGTGGGGTAAAAGCTCTGCTGTCCATCTCTGGTCAGTCCTGTAGCCTCTCCTGCTCTGACCTTATTGGGTTCAGAGGGTTGCATGACCTTATTTTCAAAGTTAGGAAGAGGTTCCTACTATTAGGTAGGAACTACATAATGTACTATTATGGCCCTTAAGTTTCACATATGTATCCTCTAGTAAAGGGTCCTTTTCTACCTAGGCTGCTCCACCAAAGACAGAGGCATAGTCTTGTCCCTGAGCCATCCTGAGGCCTTTCCAGCTTGGAAGGATGTGCTAGAACCTATGCTTTTCTGGACTAGCCTTTTGAGAGCCAAGGGCCCTTGGTTTGTGCACCACAAGGACTGGCTCTATTATCCAGGCGTTTAGCTAAATTTAGCCTTTCTGATCCTGTTTCTATAAAACCCTTCTTTGGAGAGAAGCTAATTATCTAACTTGAATCATGTATTTCCATGTTGGCTGTGGGTCCAGAAGTCTTGGGCTTTGAGCCTTTGTCTATGTCCTTCAGTCAAACACAGCCCCACTGTCCTTTGAGAGCTTATGCTGAAACTGTCCTTTCTTGGGAGATACTTTCTACTTCTCTCTTTGCTACAGCAATGATGCCCAATAGCTGAAACTTTACTGGATCCCAGAGTACCTGGTATTTATCATGTACTCTACCTATTTGTTTCCTTCCCAGAAAACTCACTGTGAAACAATCTCATGGCTCTGGAGAGAGACCAGCCCTTCCAGTTCTCTTCTCTGAGGCACTCTAAACTATAACCATAATTTATTTCCTTGTCTGTGTACCTGCACAATCTGATGTAAGTGAACAAAGAACGCCAGTCAGCAAGCTGGTCAAGCATCCTTTGCTTTTTTTGTGTGCATTAAAGTTTCATGGACTCTACTTTACCCAGAATCATCATCATGTGTATGTTGGCCATGCATATGGGCACCCCTAAGGAAAGCCTGGGGATAAGGAGGTAGAGCACAGCAGAATACTGAGTAAATGGAAGGGCACCTTTGCTCAAAGGGAACACAAGAAGATAAAATCGCTCCACCGTGGGCACAGGATACATAAACTGCTATGCTTTTGTTTGGGGTTTAAAGCAGCTCATTCCTGGCTCTCAGAACCTATACTGCTGTAAGATTACCAGTGTTCCTGCCCCGCTCCCCTACTCCTTAATTCTGTGGCTTCTTGGCTTGTCCCTTATATTCTGTCTTGATCACAATCCCACCCATAAACAATGTCATTTAGAGAGAAAAGGCATTAGCGATTGGAATCAGGAAGTGTTTTGTGTACTTGTAAAATAAATGTAAAATTGTGGCATCCCCCCCCCAAAAAATGATTAGCTTTGCCTGTATAAGCTACAGGGTTGGGAGACAACCGTTCCTGTCAGAGCACTTTACATGCTCATCCTGCATGAGCTAATACCCTGATCACTTAGGTGAATAAGAAGTGAAGTTCCTTTATCTGACCCCCACCAGTACTCCAGGTCCTATCTGTGAGTCTTCATGCTGACCACCTCACCTCACCTTACCTCACTTCTTCAGGACTTCCTTGAAGTTCAGTGACTTCCTTGTGTGTAAAGCCTTTCTTGATTAACAATTGCCAGTGCCCACTTCCCAAATGAACTTAGAATATTCATTTTGTATAAATTTACATGTGCATGTCTTAAGAAATTTCATTTAATCCCAGTGCCTGACACAGTGACCACTTAAATACTCATTAATTCTTTCAGTAATGACAGGTTGCACTGAGCCCATGCACACTTAGCAGCAGCTACTGGAGTAAGATTAAGAGTCGTGGTTTGTGTCCCCAAGCAGAATAGGTGCTAATGTTGAGGGCTTGTACCTTGTGCCAGGCAAAGCTACCTTCATCCTTTTGGGAGAACAGCCTGTTTTGTGGCAAGGGTACTGAAGTCCAGTAGCAGACGTTACATTTTATGCCGTGGCATAGACACAGGGTGACTGAAACCATGAGGCCATTCAGAATCCCTCCAAAAGGTACAAAGGAATAAGGACTCTCAGAGGAGCCCTAAAGCTGCCATTCTTAAACTGGGGCCGGGATTGCCTCCCCAACGTGCAACAGGTCAACTTCCAGACTAGGGCTTGTGGCTCCAACCCAGGGGAGGTGGGGGAAGCAGGGAATGTGCCTGCTGCCATGCACTCAAGTAACTTGAAACAGGATACAAGATTTTAGGACAAGTCAAGTACTCAAACTAGTACCCAGAATGACTGTCAGATGTCAGCACTGCACAGGTACACAGGTTATGGCCAAGACTGCCAGGAGCTCCAACCCCAATGAAGCCACCACATACCCTGGGCACAAAAAGGAGCCAGGGGATGCCCTGCTCTGTGCCACAAGCAAATCCAGGGCAGCAGTGGTTTGCCAACTAATACCTGACTCCATTCCCCATGGATTGAGCTGCCTGGCAGGGCCAGGAACCAGAGTTGGGGCATGCTTAATGGATGAAGAAGGACATGAGTCTGCCACTGGGAGGACAGCTTCCCTGAAAAGGATCAACAGAGGAAGGAACCGTTGCCAGCCACAAAGGGGAGGCCTGGCTCATTAACCTGAGCTGACTTTCAGTGAGCAAAGATTCTGAGTGAGAACAGTATGGATGGGTTTGAGGAGAGAAGCTGGGGTGCCATGCCCAGGGCATGGCCTGGGTCAAAGGGCTCACTTGTTTGTTTCTCTCTCTCTCTCTCTCTCTCTCTCTCTCTCTCTCTCTCTCTCTCTCTTTCTCTCTCAGTCCTGGAGCAGACAAAGAGGCCCTCAGCTTCTCCGAGTGAAATCAGGCAGGTTTGCTGCCCCTTCCTGGACTTTATTTATTTTAAGCTCCGGTTGACTTCCTGCCTCAGCTTGGCGGCAGCGCTGTTCTCTGGCTCAATACTCAGGAGTCTGTTGACGTCTTCAAGGCTGGATTGATAGTCCTGGGGGGTGGGGGGCAGGGATAAGGGAAGAGGGAAGGCAGGAGGCTGGGGCCTGAAGTCAGTACTTAACTGGCACACTGCTACAGGGTCTGAGCAGGGGCGAGCAGATGCAGGCACGCACCTGCTGGGCCAGCTGGGCCAGCCCTGGGAACTGGGCTAGCAGCAGGGGCAGCCCGGGGGGGCTGGAGAGAGCCCTGGTCAGGGTAGGGCAGGGGATCCCACTTACCTTGAGTTCTTTGAATGCCTGGGCACGTCTGTAAAATGCCTTGATGTTCTTTGAGTCTAATTTGAGAGCCTCTGTGCAGTCCTTTACAGCTTCTTTGTATTTCTTCAGTGACAAGTAGCAGAGGGCTCTGGAAGGCAGACAGACAACCATGAGAGTAGGGAAGGAAGACAAGCCCCAGGCCCATGGGCCAGCCCTGCAGGACAGCATGATGTCCCAGAAAGTGCTGCATTTGGAGTCAGAAGACCTGGCTTAAGGGCACTATGATTGGATTCTAAGTTTCCTTATCTATAAAAAGAGGAAATTAACACTGGGAGTTGCCACAAACAACAGCAGTTCCCTCCAAGCTGAACAAGGCCTGGTGAAGGACTCTGCCCTTTGAGGACCATCCTAGATAAATTCAGAAAGGCTAATCATCTCATAAAAGCCATCTATTAAAGTGTGAAGGGCTTGCAGTCTGCATCTGTGAAAGGGAGCAGGATTGTGGTGAGGGAACTTCATGGTCACCTAACAGCACTCTAGAAATATGAGTTCCTAATTAGTAACTACTAATTATCAAAGAGCAGCTAAAGCTGACCAAAGCCCATGAGTTAGTGGTCTTTTGGCAGTGGGTGTGAATGGCCTGATGAAAGGCCGATTCCCCTTAACCACAGCTTGTCCTTCTAAGAACAAACTTTACTACTGATAACTGGCCAAACTAATCTAGAAAGAAGAGATGGTAAAATGCCTTCATCTTCTCTGAGAAAAATGTAATCACAGGAAATGGAGTCGGTTCCCTTCAGACATGGCCACTCAGAGTTAGCCGAGTTTCTGAGATGAATCTGGTGGTGCAGGGATGACCCTCACCCAAGAAGTCCAGAAGCTACTATGGGACCTTGTACGTGGTAGTTGTTAGTGATGTGGTCAAGAAGCATCTGGCCTTTTTTATTCCAGAGCCATTCTAGTTATTTCAAGACTGGACATACATTAAATGTCAGGGTCTCCTGAATGGTCAGAGCCAGAGTGGACTCGGGGACATCTGTCAGAGCTGGAATAGCATTCCTAGTAGCTAGCACAGTGCCTGGCACATAGTGGAAACTTAATAAATAATGACTTTTTTTTGTTTTTTGTTTTTTAGGCAGTTGGGGTTAAGTGACTTGCCCAGGGTCACACAGCTAGTTAAGTGTCAAGTGTTTGATGTGAGGCTGCTTTTGAACTCAGGTCCTCCTGACTTCAGGGCCAGTGCTCTATCCACTGCGCCACCTAGCTGTCCCAATACTTGCTGATTGATCAAGAACTTGTTTTACAAGTGAGGAAGCCGAGACTCAAGAGAGAGAAGTGAGTTACTGCATAGTAACAATCAGGTTTCCTGCCTCAGGTCAGTGTTCTTTCTATAGTACTGCTAGAAGGGTAAAAAAGGAAAGAAATATAAATCTGGGCTCCTGGCTTACAGAAAGAATTCTTCTGTTACATTCCCTTCCAAGCCCTCAGGCCTAGAGACAGTTTAGGAAAATAAATAGTTATCCTGAAGCATGGGGGCTAATGCCCTCACTTCCTATGCCAGAAAACCATCCTCGACCCTCTCTTCTCCCCTACACACGTGAGTACATGCAGGGAGAACACTGCCACCACTTCACAATGGAAGGGATCTCTCTCTTTCTGGGTCTGTCCTATGTACTTATTCTCACAGCCTTGTTCTCTCCACTAGACTGAAATCTTAGGGCAGAGACCATTTGTCATCCCTCATAGCACTCACGAAGCAAAGGTCCACAGAGGAAGTAATTAATAAAAGTTTTTGGAGTTGAAGCTAAGGCCACGAACTATAGCTTTCTAAGTGGCCAATGGAACTGGATCGCCTTGTTTTCAGTGATTCCATCCCTTAAACAACACTGCCACAGCTGGTAGGAAGGAGCTTCCCCCTGACTGAAAAGGATTAAGGCTTGTTAAGAAAACTGCAGGTTGAGAGACGAATGAGGTAAAATGGAAAGAGATAAACAAGTCAAGTGTTCTGACAGGAGGAGACCAGAGAGCCCTCCCCACCGCTGAGCACTTAGGAGGACTCCAGTGTGGAATAAAGTCAGTCCTACGCCCAATCGCTCCACGTACCTGTTGGTGTAGGTTGCAGACTCCAGGCTGCTGAACTTAAGACTCTCAGTGTATTTCTCTACAGCCTCCTTATGTTTTCCTTTTTTCACCAGCTCATTGCCTTCTTCCTTTAGGGCCTGGGCTCGCTCGATGTCTCCAACAGCAGGTACTAGAAAAAGAGGATCAGCATACCTAACTACTTAAAATATAGGTTGCAACCCTAAAATGACATCTCTGGGAAGGGAAAAAAATGTATAGATAGATAGAGACTGAAAAATACCACTTCTTATAGGCTGCGTGACAGTTGTGTAGAAGTAAGATTTTATGAAACAAAACGTGGCTTCCATCCAGACTGATGTGTTATATCTGGGGCTGGTTGTACCACTAACAACATGTGACTGTCTACAAATCGCTGCTCATCTGGAGCCTTAGTTTCTTGTCTATCAAACTGGGATTATGATCATTGCCCCACCTACCTCACAGCAGTGTTGTAAGGTCAAAATGAAATAATGGTCATGAAAGTGTTTTGAAAGTTATACCACTAAGGACTGGGAATTAAGAGGGTAACCTTCTTTTGGGGAACAGCTAAGCAAATTGTGGTATATGGAGTCATGGAATATTTTTGCACCATAAGACAGGCTGAAATGTGAAACATAGGAAGACCTATATGAACTGATGCAGAGCAAAGTAAGCACAAAAACAATTCATATAACAACATTATAAAGACAAAACATAATGAATGATCTGAAAATGTTGATCAATGCAATGATCAACTATGACACTAGAGGACTGAGAATGAAGAAGCTACTCACCTTTTGACACAGAGAAGATGGACTCAAGATGCAGAAGCCATACACTTTCAGACACAGTCCATGGGGGGACTTTTTTGCTTGGCTAGGAATATTTGTTACGAAGGGTCCACCCCCACCCTCACAATGGCAGGGGGGTAGGAGTGGGGGTAGGGAAAAAGGGTCATTAAAGCATCTTTTTTAAAATGTAGAGAAAAGAACAAGGCCAGACATGACAGATAAGCAGAGTAACTCTGAAAGCTACAGGCTGAACTTATGCCCAATAAGGATAAGTATTCATACCAGATTCCTGCATTTACATGTACAGTCCTCTTTTTCTGTTCTACTATGTTCATGAAAATGCCCATTTTATTTGGTGTTTGTTACACCTCTTCCATCAGTGTCAGGTGTCGATGTTACTAAAAGGGGTGACAGCTGCCCAATAAAAGTCTTTGATATCTGTGTTTAGAAAAAAAAGGGGGGGATGGGGGGGGAATAATAGGAACAAACTCAGGCCCTTGAGCAATTTTCCATGCTCTCTGGGACTCAGGTCCTTGTTCATCAGAAGAACAGCCCAGCCTGTCTATACCAAGAAGGAAAGAACTGATACCAAGTGCAGCTGTTTCTGGTTCAGCCCTGCCGGGTTGGTAGAAGGACATTGGATGCAAAGACCTAGGTTCACTTGTAAGCTCTAACACTGCCTTACTGGGGGACTCTGGAACAAGTCAGTGGACCTTTCTTGGCTAGCTTCCTCATCTATGTGTTGGAATTATAATTCCTAACCTGCCAAGTTTACAGGGCTTTTGTGAAAATCAAATGAGATAATGCATGTAAAAAAGCATAGGAACATAAGTAGTTACTCTTATCCCAGCTCTAATACTGGCAGTCAACCTAAGCAAATAATTTCATCTCTTTGCCTCAATTTCTCCATCTGTAAGAAAGGGGATAATAATACCTCACAAGATCATTGTAACCAATAGAGGAAAATGCTTACAGTGCTATATAAATGTGAGTTATTTTCACACTGGCAAACAAGTTACCAGGTTGGCGTGCCTGTAAAGGGCCTGAGAGGAGTGGTTCCCATGCATCTGGGGTACATGCTATCCTAGGAGTGGAGAACATGCATGGGGGTAGAAATGGCATCTTCTTTCTTGGTCTTTGTTCTACCAACCCATGAGGGCTCTGGCCCAGATCTCTTCTGGACTTGCATTCACCGTATCTGGTGGGCTGAAAGCCAGGCAAGAAAGATATATTTTCCTTAGTTTATGACACAAAATTAAATGCACCATGATTCAAGTGTGGCTTATTTCAATTAGGCCACTATCCCAAGACTCACCTTTGTTCTTTACGGTGTCGGCTTCTTTGAGTCTGCTTTTGGCTGCCTTCTCATGGTCACCCCCTGGAGCTGCTTCCCACCTTTTTTGAGCAGCGACTGGCACTGAGGGGATGGGGGGCAGCTTAAGACGCCACTCAAGCCCATCTGTGTCCATGAGAGCTTTGGTCATCCTACAACAAAGGTGAGAGATTAGAAAAAGGCTTTCTGGCTGAGCCACTCAAACATTTCCATCATTCAGTACCCAGGGTACAAGATACAGTTAACATCTCTGTCAGTGTTCACCAGAGACTAAAATCCAAGAAAGAAGCCAATAATAAAAATTCTTGATCTTAGATGCCTATATATAAATATGGATCATCTGAGTAACCCACAGGATACACTAGAGTAAAGAGACAAATGTGACCTCATAGGTATCATTGAAACTTGGTAGGATGAGACCCACAACTGGAATATGGCTTTGAAGGGGAAGGGTGTCATTAAAATAGCATTTTGTTTTAAAAAGCTATACTTGCAAGACATCTAGGAACCAGAGGGGGGAAGCACAGTACACAACATTTAGATGATCAAAGGAAGCAGAAAGAGAAATGATAGTCAGCCGGATATGTTCGAGCACCTGGAAAAAAAGCAACTGCTGAAGAATTCAAGAAAAAGATCACATTCCTGATAGTAAGACATAATATAGTAGTAATGAGACACTTCAAATTACCCAGACATCTGCTGGAGCTTTCTCTCTGGCAAAAGTGGAGAAACTGATAATTTCTTGATTTGTCTCAATGATAATTTCAGCCTTTAGAAAGTGAAGGAATCAACAACAGAGAACTCTCTTCTGATCTGATTCTCACCAACAATGGGAGGCTGATTACTGTGGTGGAAATAATGTGAATCTTTATAGCAAAGTAACAATTCCATCTTTGAATCTGAGAGTGAAAAGGAGAGACAAGCTGGAAAGTCTGATATGCACCCTAAATTTTAGGAGACAAGATTTCAAAGTGTTCAAGGAAGGGATAGGAAGGATCCTATTGCTTGAAATTCTATACGAGTTCCCCAGGAGGGGTAAGGAATGAAATTCTAAAGGCACAAAGTAAAACTACTCTGCTAAGATAAAAAGAGGAATCAATATATAAAGGGCTGATGTGAATGCATGGGGATCTCATCAACCAAAGTAAGTTTTTAAAGGCAGGTACAAAAGATGGAAGAAAAGACAGGGAACAGAAGATGAATATAAAAGCAAAATATGGCCCCTAAAGAATGGCAAGAACACTACAACTCAAAATAAGCTAAGTCTGTGGAGGTAAAGCTTAAGAAAACAAAAAGATTTTTTTTAGCTATATTGTCTAGGGAGGAGAAAGAGGAAGGAGAATCAAAGAAAGGATCAGATCATTGCTGAGGACGGATGGGACAATAAATAGCCAAAAGAAAAAAAGGCAAAGCTGCTCAACTCATTTTGCTTCTCTTTTCTCTGCCAAGCAGAATGATCTTTGGACTGAAAGGGACAGAACAAAAATGAATAATAGGAAATTGAAACCCAAGATAAGTGAAGTGATTGAAGGAGACCAAACTTCTCTTGATGAATTCAAATCACCTGGCTCAGAGTAATGACATCCTCCTGTATTAATAAAAAAAAAGAAAAGCAAACAAAAACCACCCCACAACTGGCAGGTGGAATGGCTGAGTTACTATTATTTATCTTTGAAAGGTCACAGTGTACAGGAGAGGTACTACACAATTGCAAAAGGACAAATTTATCAATTTTTCAAAAAGGCAAGAAAATGTATTCTATAAACTATATTTCAGTTTATAGAATGGTTTAGAACTATAGTTTTGGATGTAAAACTTGTGTAAAATTGGAAAAATTCTAGAATTCAATACTAAAGAATGGTTAGTGAACACCTTAAAAAGGATGCATACTGATTACAAAGATCCAGCATGGCTTCACAAAAAACAAGTCATGACAGGCTAATTTGTTTTTTTTGGTTTTAGTTAAGTTTTTGGATTTTTTCTTGGTGGGGTCACTAGACTGATTGATAGGGACATATAAATTACCTAGATTTTAGCAAAGCATTTAACAGTTTCTCATGTTATTCTTGTGGAAAATATGATAAGATATGGTCTAGTCCAGAAGTGCTGCAAAATTCCCTAGTGCAGAACCAGGTTAAAATGTAATTAGGAAATATTTAACAAAATAAATAAAAATACACCACAGATAAAGTTAATTGGAGGTTTTCTAAGTCAATATGCCACTGCAGGGGTTGATTTCTTTTTGAGTTTGACACCTCTGGGTCCAAACTGCTGTGTATAGCTAGATGGGATTTAGCACTGGTTGAATGACTACACCCAGAGTTGTCATTAATGGTTCAACATCAGCTTGGAAGGTGGTCTCTGGTAGAGTGCTCCAGGTTTCTGTGTTTGGCCTATGCTATTTAACATTTTTACCAATGGCTTGGATGAACACATTAATTCTTTAGATGACATAGAGCTAACACTGGATGACAGTCAAGATTCAAGAAGGCCTGAAAGCCTAGAACATAGGGACAAATCCAATAAGATGAAATTTAATAGGGACAAATATAAAGTCTTACACTTCAATTCAAAAAAATCAATTTTACAAGTAGAGATGGGGGAGTCATGGCTACAGAGCAATTTGTCTGAAAAAGATCTGGGGTCTGAGTGGACTGCAGGTTCAAGATAAAGCAATCAACAGAATGATACAAAAGCCAAGAAATTTTTGAGCATGATAACTGAGTAGGTAAGGGGAGGAAAGCAGATTCTGAATCACCCTAGGACTAACTTTGCAAATTAGGGGACAAAGAAGGAAGGGGAAGGCCAGTCCTGATCTTTCAGTGAAGGCTATGGTCTGTGAAACTTTATCCGTACATTTCCCAGTATCCGAGAGCCTCCCCACTCCACACAGATGGCCACTATCTATAAAACTATAGCTCACTGAGAATTTGGAGACACCTCATGGCTCAGAGAATACAAAGTTAGCAAATCCTCCCATGTGTTATTAAGTTTGTTTAAGGCCTGAATTTCTAAATGAACTCGTAACTCTCCTAAGCTGTTCTCCAGACATTCAAGGTTGCTTTCTATATAGGAACAATAAACAAGTTAACATTCCTTCAAGGAACTTGTTTAGTGTTTCATACATATATTAGGGTATCTTGTATCTCATGAGATGAATCAGGACATACCCACAGGAAGCTAAGCCACTTTATGTGGTCAGTCAACATCTGCAATACAGCACTGAATTCTGGGTACCACATTTCAGGAATGACATTAATAAGCTGGAGAGTGTTCTGAAGAGAGTAACCAGGATGGTGAAGTGCCTCAAGTTTATGTCATGAGGATTTATTAAAGGAAATGGAAATGACTAACTTGGAGAAAAGATGATTAGGGGTAGATGGGGGATGGGGGGAGGCAGTCACTGCCTTACTATGTACCCTCTGTGAGATAGGTAGGGAATACTTTTAGTTGGAGTCATCAGGGAAATCTTCATGGAGGAGGTGTCATTTCAGTTGGACCCCAAAGAATAGGTAGGATTTTAATAGGGCGGGGGACAGCCAGGAAGGAATTCTAGGAATAAGGATCGGTGTGAAAGAAGAGAAAGATGCCAGAAAGCACTTGGATGTGAACAAAGGGCAGCAAGTAGTTCAGTTTGGCTAAAGTCTAGAGAATTCTAAGGAAAGCAGTGGGAGAAAAGTCTGGAAAAGTAGGCTGGGACCAGATTGTGAAGGGAGGGCTGAGAAGTCTGGCAGTGAGGACTAGTGGTATGTCTTACTTAAATGCATGCATCAGGAAGATCAATTTGTCTCCTGGACTTAGCACAAGCTAGAAATTCAGGACATGGACCTGGAAAGAACCTAATAATGTCAAATTTGACATATTATTCCCTACTAAGGATGATCTGATTGTACAGACTTTTCCTCTAAACAGAGCTTTCCTCATGATGGACACACCATGCACATTTCTATGAATCTGGGAAAAGTCCTTGCTTTGCTTTCTGACTGAGCTGGTTTTTAAGTAACAAAAGCTACCAGTAACGATGCAACTGTCCCTTCCCCGAGGCTTAGCTAAGTCTTAAGCCAGCAGTTTTGTGCCAGAAGACACCCAAAGGAAAGTGTCCAATGGCGATCACAGGCAGCACAGCAGACTTACCTGTTGACTCCATCATGTGCAGCTGGCAGAGTGCAGTCTATCTGCAGCACTGTCTTGTAATCCACATAAGCCAGCTGGTATTTCTCCAAGGCTTCATAGGCTGCTGCCCGCCTCAGCAAGGGTTTTATGCCAAAAGGAACCAAAGACAATGCACTAGAGGAGGGAAAAAAAAGCAGTGTGGCTTCCTGAGTCAAGGAAACACCATCCCACCCATCACTCTTTGGCTGGTTCAACCCAGAGACCATTATAATGACAACATATGGTCAGGATAGAACATCAGAATATTCTGAAAAAAAACTCCCCCTGTTTCATAACATCTTTCTCTTGTATGGTATTAAAAATAGAACATTCTAGTGTGATATCACAAGATAGACTTGGCACCCACCTTTTAGGGATGGACAAATCATTTCACCTTTCTAAGCCTCAATTTCCTCATCTGTAAAATGGGGATAATGATATTTATAGTATCTAACTCATAGAGTTGTTGTGGGGCAAGCGATTCTTAAATCTTAAAGGGCCTGGGTTGGGACCTGTGAATTCACTAGCATAGTGCAAATGACCTTAATTGCAATGACAGATGCAAACTTGCCCACGATCACATAGCCAGTCTGTTAGAGGCAGGACTTGAACCCAGGTCCTCCTGGGTTCAAGACCAGATCTCTATCCATGACGTGATGCTAACTAAAATAAAAGACAAAATAGGGCCTAATTAGTTGGGGGTAAATCAAGAGAAAAGAAATTAGGGAAAACACCAAAGGATGTCATATGGAAATGAAGGAGGTCTAACATCTTATTTCTATCATGCTTTAGGTTCATAAGCACTTGCCCCACAACAATCGTATGAGGTAGAGGGTGTACTGAGTATGACAGGACATAGCTTGGTATGAGAGCAAGGGCGCTGGCAATGCAATCAGAGCAGTCAGGTTAAAACCTATTACTCACTGTCTGTGATCTTAGGCAAATCAGTTTCTTCATCTAGGCTGGGGGAAAGGGGTTGGATGGCTTCCTCCAGCTTTTATCTATGATCTTATGCCCACTTTAAGAGTAAAGAAACTGAGGCACAGAGGGCTAAATGATAAGCTTAAGGTGACACAGCTAATAAGGGGTGGAAGAAGAACATGAATGCAGACCAACAGATTCCAGGTCCAGCACGTTTTTCACCACACTATGCTAAATAGCCTTTCAGAACACTCCAATCCTCTGAGGCCAGGAGCTTCCAACTAGAGGACACAGTAACCCAATTTGTCCCCCTATCAGAAGAACAAAGACTGCTCTAGCAATTCTGGGCCTACAGCTTCCCTTCCTCTACAGCTCTCCCAAGAGCCCCATACAGCTCAGACCACCCCATCCCCTGCTTTTTCTACAGCTTGGTTACAGAAAGTAGAGACCCTGACCACCAAAGCCAGAGGGGGAAAGGACCTCTGGGTCTCTCTCCTAGTCTAAGCTCAGGCAGAAATGCTTTCTTGAGATCAGTCACAATGCACTCAGCAGGGTTAGCTCTGGAGAGGAAATGACTCCTGCCAGCCACCCACAGGTTTGAATCACCCTGGGGGCCCTGAAGCTGAAAGATATTCAAAGCTGTATTTGGCCTTAAGGGACACTGCTTACACCGAGCAGTCTTTAATGCAATGTGTACAGTTTCCATCCTTCAAGTGGCAAGCTGCTCGGTTGGAATAGAGGACACTCTCTTCTTCAGGGCTGGCTGGACCTGTCAAGGAAGGGAATGAGACATATAAAGCAGGTGTTAAGCTGAACAACAAAAGCCTGAGGCTATTCACGCTGTCCTTCCACACCCAGAGCTCTTCAGATCATGGCTGAAGGCAAAGGAAATATGAATGAGTTGGTTCCATAGACCAGTCAATCTGTATTTCATGCTTGCATACCCGCATGTGCGTGCATGCGTGCACACACACACACACACGTTTTCTGCCATCAATGAACTCCACATTCCATACCCTTCAGAGAATGAAAAAAAACACTGGACTTAGAATCAGAGGCCCCATTTTTGGGCCCCATTTCTACCACTCACTAACCATGTGATTTTGGATGAGTCACAAAACATCTAAGACTCAGTTTTTTCTTCTATAAAATGGAAACGATACTTGCACTATTTATCTCACTGGGTTATTTTGAAGAAAGCACTTTGTAAACCTTTAAACACTATAGCAATGTGAGTAATGATGTTAAAAATCCATGATTTGGTCCAATGCAAACTATTACCCCTTCTTGATCTAGCCCTAAATGTTAGGGTCACAAAATTCATTACCTTTGGTCAACTTGATGATGACTCTCTGACCTTTTGGGATGCTGGTCCTCAGAAAACAACCATACCTTTGCACAATTTGTGTCCCTGCAATGGGCTGCCTTCTCACCTTGGCCTCTTAGAATTCTTAGCTTCCTTAAGGACACAGCTCAGGTGCCCCTTACCTGTTAATGCTTTTTTTTAAAATTTTTCAGCTTATCTGTGTATATATTGTATGCCACAGCAGAATATAAGCTTCTTGGAGGCAAGGTCAATTTTATCTTTTTGACTTTGTATCTCTAGAACCTGACACAGTACTTTATAAAAAGGAGGTATTAAATCAATATTTGTTGAATTTTATTGAACAGACATATGGAGCTCATCACTAGGCCTGTAATTTTCCAAGCTGGTAGTATCTGTTAAGAGTTTACATCCCACTGATAAGAACCTAAAGTCATCTCCATGACATCCATGAGGCACTGGAGGAAAGCTATTATTATAGGCTATGGGAACTTTTTACTGCACATTTTCTCACTGGCTCTTGAGGCAGGAAAAGGGCCCCAGCTACTGTTGAAAAAACACATCCTGGAGATGGCCTTCTTTCTAAGAACTACAAATCTCAGAAGCCCGTAAGACTTGCTATGAACCCAATTTTTTAACATGTTCAGGAGATACATACAGAGTCAGAGTACTGAAGCACACAAAGGCAGGTAACTTCATAACAGCTCTCACGTCACAAAGCACTACACATAACAAGAAGGATGCCCCATTACATCTGGACAGCACTTTATCCTTTAACTTTCATGTCCATGATTTGATTTCATTCTGAGAGGCTATCCACAGTGTAAGAATGATCATCTCCATCATTTCCATCTTCCATTTGAAAGATCTTCTTGACTAGAGGCCTAGTGCTTTATCCATTGTGTCATCTAGCTGCCAAAGCCTGGCTTATCAGCATTTGGGCACTGGGTCAGACTAACTTCCAGAGAGCTGTTAGGGAAAATTCCCCAGGATACCAGGCCATTTCTGCTCCTTCCTTCATTCCTTCTTTCCCTCCACCACACTTCCATCCATGCAAGTAATTTACAAACTGCCCAAACATCTTCCGCAGGAGAGTTTCCCTTATAGTTTGCTTACATTTTCTTCTGAGAGGCTGAAGAGCTACAGTCTCTTATTTAGCATTAGGGAAGGTACAGGCAAGAATCTGAGACCATTAGCCTCCCTTTGTCAAGGTATGAGGCCTCCAGCTGGTGTAACCCCTCAGAGGATGCTTTTTAGTCCCAGGCCAGCTTGCAACCCCGAGGGATTGGTGTGCCTGCTCCCTTCCTGGTGTCACCACCTAATGCTTCTTACTATGATTTCTCTCTTTCTCTGGCCCAATGTGTAGCAGGAATAGTCTGTCAGGTTTTCTCTCTTATTCTGTAATTGCTGAAGTTAGTGGGAGCTATGGGAGGCCCTTAGGTTCACAACAGGCATGGTGAGGTCACACGTGTAGCTGAGTTGAAAGAAGCTAGAAGGGAACTCATGAGGCCCAGGCTTCGAGGTCCAGCGTAGTTAGTAGGGCCCAGACCGAGGGCCAGTAGTCAAGACAAGGTTAGTGGGGATAGGTCGGAAGGTGTGTGGACCAGGGTGGTGCCTGGTCTGAGTGTGTGGCCCCAATCTATCCTTCCAGCTTCATTCTATCACTCCCTTTCTCTCACTCTACTATCCAGTCAAGATGACTCTCTTTCCTTAGACTCAGCATTCCATCTCTTTTCTTCATGCCTTTGTACCAACCATCCCCACCATGCCTGGAATACACTTCCTTCTCACAGAATCTCTCTCTTCCTTCAGGATAGGCAACTCAGGCATGACCACTGATTCCCTGAACTGCTAGTGCCCACCCTCCTCAACTACCTCCTATTTCTTTGGTATATGCTTATATGTATGTAATGGAATATTGTGCAGTAAAGAAATTACACATTACAGAAGAGGAACTGAGGTAAATGTGGGAAGATTTTTATCAAATGATAGAGGGCAAATAAGCAGAACCAAGAGAACAATAAACACAATGACTACAAAAATGTAAATGAACATATCACTAAAAGGAAGATGAACTGAGTAATGGGGGGTAAAAATCAAGAAAGGTCCCAGAGATCATGAAAAATACCTCCTCCCTCACAGCACCGGGGCAGGCACTTCAAGGATAGAATATCACAGATGTTGTCAGTTTCTGTAAGTGGGTGCTTTTGCATATTTGGGGGGGGGTCACAAGGCACAGTTCAAACTGGTGGAGTGGAAGGCAATTACTACTGTAAAAACAAACGGAACCAATGACACATTTTTAGAAGAATAAACAAGGGCAGACTGTCCCCAAAAGGATGAGAGATGATGGCAGATGGGCTGGATCCATTCAGGTGAAAAATGGGGATTCCTAGTCTAGAGGGCTCAAGAGGCAGGCTGGATAAAATTGATTATATTTTAATAGACAAGAAATGATTCATTATTCATTTGGGAATCAGCCTTGAATATACCTGTCTGTGTATTACCAAACCATAGACTTGTTAAAGCATTTAAAACTAGAAGAATAAAAATGAGAACAGGCTGTGGCAATGGATTAGATGACCTCAAAAGCTGCTTCCAGCTGTGACATCAGAGATTAGTAGAGACCCAAAGAACAGAGTCTGTGGAGATTGATGGAGGTCATTTGTGGGACTGGACAAATCTCTGGGCTCAGGAAGAGCTTTTTGGGAAAATGGATGACGAATTTAGCTAGGCTGGGTGTTCTCGGGGCAGTAACATTATGATGTTGTCAACGCAGACATGCTGTGAAGTTGGTCAGGTGAAGATGGCGGGGTCAGGGTTGGCTGAGGGCTGTGGGACCAGGTCAACTGGAATTAGTGAAGCTTTTAGGAATTACAGTTGGTACAGTCCATGTGGCTTTGGGTCTATGAGGATATATTTTGATGGGACTGGAGTCCATGAGATCTGTGGAGGAGTGAGGGATAAAAATGTGTGGGATTAGGCTTTGGAGCCCCGTGGGGTCATGTTTGTGAGGCTGGTTGGAGTCTGTGTAATTCAAGTTAATAGGGTTGGAACAGTTGTAGGATAAATTCTGTGGAGATAAGAGTTGTGGGATCATGAGCCGTGGACTCTTGGGAGTCCCACCTGTGGGATGTTAATTGGTGGGGCTGTGATATCAGTCTAGGAAGCTGGGTCCTGGGAGGCAGAATGAAGTCTGTGGGGTTGGTCGGATACAACTGGAGGGTAAGGCCTGTGAAACTGAAGGAAATTAAGGGCTGTGGGATGCATGCTGGGCTAGGGAGTTGAAGGCCCTAAGGACAATCTAGTGAGATTTGTGAAGGAGTGGGGAGAGACAGGAAGGAGTTTGTGGGATCAGGGGCTATGTAAGCCCCCTGAAGTCATCAACCTTAGAGCTTAAGCTGGAAGATACCTTCTACCTGGGGGAACAGCGGATAGAGTGTTGAGCCTGGCATCAGGAAGAAGTGAGTTCAAATCCAGCCTCTGATACTTACTAGCTGCGTGACCCTAAGTAAGTCACTTAACCTATTTGCCTTAGTTTCCTCAACTGTAAAATGGGAATAACTACTTAGCACCATGCCTGGCACATAGTAGGCACTATATAAATGCTTATTTCAGTGAACCTTTCCAAAACCCTCATTTTCCACATGAGGAATGTGAGGTCAAATGAATGTCTAAAAGTCACAGGGATAGTAAGCTTCAGAGGCAGAACTGGAACCCAGTGCTCTGACTTCAGAGACAGTGTCTTTGCTGCTGGATCCCTCTGGATCAGCAGCACCTACAGAGCCAGCAAAGTCTAGGTTATGCAGCTCCCTGAACCTAAGGTGAGGGATAGTTTCTGAGACCAGTGGAGTGTACTCTGTGAGGTCTTCAGGTAAGTGGGATGAGGGAGGGAGTTGGGAAGGCCACCTAGGTTTTCAGAGTCATAACTGACCACTGGGATGGGGTCTGTGAGGCTGGTAGAGTCAAGACAGGTCCATGGTCTAAGGGGCAACAATATGGCTGGGAAGCCAGGAGGATGGAGGATCCTGGGATAGGGGGGTGCTGATTCATGGGATCTGAGGGCTGAGACCATGGTACCTCGAGAAGCTGGGGAAGGGGTCTATGGAGTCTGTGGGGTCTCAGAGGGGTCCAGGGAGAGAGATGGGGTCTGTGGGGTCCTGGGGAGTGGGGGAAGGAGGGATTGTCTACAGGCTCCAAAGGGAGGATCTATTGACAGCCTATGGTCTGTGGAGGGGGTGGTTTATGATTTCCTGGGTGGGGTCTATGGGGTACATAGTGATCTGGAGCTGGGGGAAGGGGGCCTATGGGGTCTAAAAGATCTAAATCTCTGAAAGGGGTCTCTATGGGGTCCGGGGGGGGAGGAGGGGGGCTGTAGTTATGTGTGGTGGGGGATGGGGAATGGTCTCTGGGGTCCTGGGATGATCTACAGGCTCAGCATGGGGTATGGGGTGTCTACTGGGTCCTGGGGTATTTATGGCTATGGGATCTATGTGTGGGGGTTAGGGGTGGTCTATGAAATTTTAGATGGTGGGAAGAATGTCTACGGGCCCCATAGGACCAAGGGTATCTGTGTGATCTGAGGGAGGTTGTCCATGAGGTCCTGAGGAGTCTAAGGGGTCCTGAGGGCTATCTATAAGGTTCTGGAATGTCTCCTAACCTAAGAGATGTCTATCCAGTCCTGGGAGGGATCTTTGGGATAGTGGATGGGACTATGGACTCTGCAGGGGGATGGAGGTGTCCACTGGGTCCTCAGAGTATCAATGGAGTCCTCCAGGGTCTATGGGCCACCACATCGGTGTGATTCTGGGGGTGTCTCTGGGGTCCCAGGATATATAAAGAGTCCTAATGGGTCTATGGCGGGGTAACTATGTGACCCTGGGAATATCTCAGGATCCAAGGATATCTTTATGGTACTGGGAGTGCCTCTAGGGTCCTAGGGGATGGGTCTCTGGGGACCCTGGAGTGTCTCCGTGACCCTGGGGATGCTTTTGGGACCTCAGGGGTGTCTCCAGGGTACTGAGGGTGTCTCTGGGGTCCCAGGGGTGTCGTACGTGACCCTTTGGATGCTTCTGGGGTCCTGGGATGTCTATAGGGTCCTGAGAGTGTCTCTGGAGTCCCAGGGGTGTCTACATAACCCTGGGGTATCTCTGGGGCCTCAGGCGTGTCTTTAGGGTCCTGAGGGTGTCTCTGGGGTCCCAGGAGTGTCTATATGACCCTGGGGATGCTTCTGGGTTCCTGGGGTGTCTCTGGGGTCCCAGGCGTGTCTATGTGATGCTTCTGGGGTCCTGGCGGGTCTCTAGGGTCCTAGGGTAACTCTGGGGCCTCAGGGGTGTCTCTAGGGTCCTGAGGGTGTCTCTGGGGTCCCAGGGGTGTCTATGTGACCCTGGGGGTGCTTCTGGGGTCCTGGGGTATCTCTGGAGTCCCAGGGTTGTCTATGTGACCCTGGGGGTGCTTCTGGGGTCCTGGGGTGTCGCTGGGGTTCCGGGGGTGTCTGGGGGTCCTCGGGGCCTCTCGTACCTGTCTGTCGCAGCACGTCGAGGGCCCGGCCGTAGAGCTCGGCGGCCTCCGCGTACTGGCCGCTGCGGAAGCTCTCGTTGCCGGCGGCGCGGAGCTCGAGGACGGAGCCGGGGGGCTGAGGCGCCATGCCGGGACCGGAGCCGACCAGAGGCTGCAGGCCGGGATCCGCGTTCCGCGGTTGCTGTGGCGCCGGCTCCGGCTCCGCCCCCTCCCCCCTACCTCCGGCCCGGAAGCGACGCCGGCGCCTAGAACCTCTGAGGGGCGCCGGCGGGGGGCGCACACGCGGGGCGGGCGGGAGCACGCACAAAGGGGTTGGTGGGGGCCGCCGCCTTACAATGAGGCCCGCGCGTAAGACCCGCGGCCGGCGACCCACAGAGTCTGCGCGTCCTCGGCCGCGGGGGGAGGGGGAAAGGGGGGGAGGAGAGGAAACGGGGGGGGGGGGGGGGGGCTGCCTTGGGAGAGCCCCGCTGCCCCAGGGCCTGATGGTCGGGGTAACCAGGTCCTGGAGTATCTGCTTGTAGATGGCTAAGATCCAGCCGGTTGTGCTTCCGATCATTAGTATATGCACGCACTCACTCACTCACTCACTCATTCATTCATTCATTCATTCATACATTCATTCATTCATTCATGAACAGCCTGAACTTCAAGTCGGAGAGCCAGGGAGCCACTTCTTGCCTCCCACACTTTGTAGCTAGCCATGAGATGGAGCGACTTCCCAAAGGCAAGCCCCATCATCTCTCTGGGCCTCAGTTTGCTTTTCTAAAGTAAGATGGTACATAAAATTTTGGGGAGAAAAATACCTTCTATGGTACTAGAAAAAAATGCAAATAAGACAATCATGCAGCAAATGTTTCCTGTATTTATGTGTAGTACCCTGTGCTTGGAAAAAAAAAAAAGTCTTCTAGAGAGAACGAGGTCACTGAACTCACCCAACTTCCAGGCCAGAGGAGGTCAATAGGGCTTGTAAACTCATAATTAGAATAAAAGGCAATAGGTGATAAAACTCCACTTGGGCGGCATAAATAAAATGCTGTAGGAGTCTAAAGATCAGAGAGGGTGCAGGAACAGCCTCATGGAGAAGCAGTGCCACAGGGAAAGGAGAGCTGGATTTGGAGTGTGAGGACCTGCCTTCGAACCTTGGCTCTGTTATATTACTACCTGCAAGACCTTGGGAAACTCATTTCACCTCTCTAGGCCTCAGTTTCCTCATCTATAGAATGCAAGAGTTGGATCAGGTGACTTCCAACTCTAGATCTAGGTCTTTCAAACTCTTAAGCCACACGCTATGATTTATTCATTCAGCAAGTCCTGTACCAAGAGTTCGGAGATACCAGGGCTCAAATTCCATCCCTGGCATTTACTAGCTTAATGTGACGATTGGCTTCCTTATCTGTAAAGGGGGTGAAAAATACTTGTAAAATCCACTTCCTGGGTTGGTTTAATAATAACAGCTAACATGTATATGGCACTTACTAAATAAGCCCTTTACAATTGTTATCTCAATTGATTCTCACAACAACCCTGGAGGCAGGTGCTATTATTATCCCCATTTTGTGGGTGGGGAAACTGAAGCAAATAGAGGTTTAGTGACTTGCCCAGGGTCGCAAAATTAGGGAAATGTCTGAGGCTGGATCTGAACTTAGGTCTTCTTGATTCCAGGCCCAATGCTCCAGCCACTGCGCTGTATTCAGATGAGATAATATATGTAAGCACTTTGGAAACCTTAATAAAGCACTTTGTAAATATCAGTTATTATTGTTCATTCAGCACTCACTCAAATGGATCAATAAGCTTGTACTTTTAGATAGTCTCTGCAGTGATACAGATCAAAACTATACAGGACTATCCAGTCTATTCAACTATTTTTCAGGTCCTCTTATAAGTTCAACAAAGAGAGGTGGGCCTTTCTCCATTTCTCCAGACATTTTAACAATATGTACCTACTGGCGGAACACTCAAAGGGTTCAATTTAACATCCCTCAAGCTCACCTCAAGATAAATCCGTTTTTTTAATCACATTTGTCTTATGACATTCTTTACTCCATTTCACTAGTAAAGTTCGTTATTTGTCAATGCTGCAGCTTATTTACACCTCCAACACACCTCTGTATGCTATTAATTACCCTCTGTGTGTAGTTTCATTTATGGTTTCCTAAAATATAGGTCTGAAAAATCAGGCTTAGATAAAGCCCATTTGTGATTCAAATAGAGCTCATTGACTACGCCTTTTAACCCAAAGCACTCTGGCTCTCATTGATTGACCAGCGTCCCAGCTCTAGCCTTACTTGGTCTTAGTTTGGGTTTCAACGGCTCTGAGTGAGTGTAAATTGCTATTGTTTCTATTCTAGCCAGAAACCCTGAGGGTCTTCCACTCCCAATTTGACATTTTTTTTTGTTGTTTTTTGAGTAGGTAAACTAGGTCATTTTTTACCTAGCCTTAGCTGGGGACCATCAGCAGTGGTTCTGATCTGTATCTTGCCACTGGATCCAGACTAGGAAGGAGAAAGCTGGTGACTTTGCACAACCTTCCCTCACTTAAATCCAGTTCACAAACAAGTCATGGCATCACCTTCCTGATGTCATGGTCCTCTTTGAGAATGAAGGACAAACAACTTGTGAGTAGGCCCAGTTGCCCCACTGGGGACCTAACTGGCCAGTTCCAATTGGGCAACGCAGCTCCTTTTTTCCTTCCTTCCTTCTCTCCATCCTTCCCTTTTTCCCTCCCTCCTTCCCTCCTTCCTTCATTCCTTCCTCCTCCCCTTCACTTCTCTCCCCTTTCCTTCTCTTCCTTTCTCTTCCCTTCCCCTTTCCTCCTTCCTCTCCCTTTGTCCACATGGGATATCATACCAATACCTACAGGTGCTCCACCCAAAGAAATGTAAATTTTGAAGGCTGAAACCTAACAAGATTTCTTGGTGTTTACAGGCTATACTTCTGTCTTAGAGACCATGGGCCTTAAATCCAATTCACTCTGGCTCTCCTTGATTGTCCAACAATAGGTCCCAGCCCAAGCCCCACTTAGTGGTTATTGTTTGGGTCCTGATGGCTCTGGGTGAATGTAAATAGTAATTATTTCTGTTTTGGCCAAAAACTCTGAGGGTCTTCCCCTCCCAGAGTGATGATTTTTTTAAAAAATCAGGTAAAAGGGGTCATTCCTTGGCTCATTTCTTAACTAGCCTAAATCACTGAATGAGCATTGCATCAGTCAAAGTGAGAACTTGGAAAGACTTTGGCTTAGAAAGGCCATCTCCAGTCATTCTGATCTATATCTTGGCACTGGACCCAGATAGCCCCAGAGGAGAAAGTGAGGCTAGTGACTTTGCACAGTCCTCTCTCACTTAAATCCAATTCATTTGAAGTCATGGCATCACCTTCCTGATGTCGTGATCTTCTTTGAGAATGCCTCTAATGCCTAGCCTTAAATCACTGAATGAGTGTTGCCTCAGACAAACTGAGACCTGGGAAAGACCTTAGCTTAAAAAGGCCATGGTCTCCCACTGCATCTGGGGTCATCTCCAGTCATCCTGACCTATTTCTCACCACTGGACTCAGATGACCCTGCAGGAGAGAGTGAAGCTGAAGATTTTGCACAGCCCTGTGTCACTTAAATCCAATTCACTTTCAAGTCATGACATCATCCTCCTGATGTCATTGATCCTCCCCCGAGAATGAAGGGCAAACAACAACACCAGTGTAACTGTGATTGTCATTTCTATTATGTTCCTGCCCAATTCCAAAATGATCCAAGGGGAAATGTTACAGTTTGAAAAAGTGAATCAGTCCAAAAGAATCTTGGAATACTAGAATAATAGAAGTAAATGGGACATTACAAGTCATGTAATCCAACCCCCTGATTTAACAGAGGAAACTGAAGCCATGAACAGGGAAATCATTCGCCATGACCATATGGTGAATCAATTCAACTCATTAGTGGTGGAGTAGACATTGGAAGCAAGGATGATCTCTAGATTTAGGTAAAAGTTAAATCAAATAAAAGCTTTTATAAACTTAAAGAAAACATTACTGTTCTCTTAGATGCAACATTCCAAGAGAGAGTGGTCACACGTCTGAACTGGAAGTGAAACTGCCCCTTATTTACTAGATGTTGGTCTTGGAAAGCTCACTTTGCATCTCTAAACTTCAGTTTACCCATCTATAAAATGGGGATAGATAATACTTTCCTTAGAGGCAGCTAAGAGGTTCAGTGGATGGAACACTAGAACTGGAGTCAGGAAGTCCTGGGTTCAAATTTGACCTCGGGTATTCACTAGCTCTGTGACTTAACCTCTGCCTTGACCCACAGGAGAAGGAAATGGCCAACCACTCCAGTATCTTTGCCAAGAAAACTCCCTACAGGGGTCACAAAGAGTCAGACACAATTGAACAATACTTTCAAAACCCAATTCCCAAGGGTATTTATTTCAAGAGAGATCTTAATAAACATTGAAGTGTTACAGAAATGTGAGTTCTTATTAGTGTTAGGAATAATAACTTATTTATTTGGCATTTTACAAAACACATTCCCTGCAGCAGCCCTGTGAGGTGGATAGTGCAAAAAAAAATCCTCAAGCTCTGTCCTGTCTGAATTAAACATTATTTTTACTACCAAGACACGGGTTCAACTCGGGACTCAGATACTTATTAGCTGTGCTATTAAGTGTTCCTCTGTAAAATGAGGGGGTTGAACTACATGACCAGTAAGCTTCCTTCCAGTACTGTATGTCCTGTTGCAATAAGGTATATGGTGACATAGTAGAAATTGCACTGGTTTAGGAATGATGGAGGAGGGCCTGGGTTCAAATCACAGCTCTGTCATTTACTAGCAATGTAACCTTGCACTAATTATTTTCCCTCCCTAGGCCTCAGCTTCCTCCTCTGTAAAATGGGCATGTGAGTCGCTGCCACGTGATCGTCCTGCCAGCTCTATCTATTACTCCCCCACAGGGTGGTTTAATAGTCCGTTGATCACTAAAACTGAGGCTGAGGCGCCCCGGGCTGTTGACGTGCCAGGCACTATTACAGTCCCCCGGCTGCTGCCCCCTTGCGGGGCCTCTCAGGCAGTCGCCTACTCACCCTCCCTGCCCCGCCCCGGAGGAGGCAGGCGTCACGTGACTCAGACCCCTCCCACTGGGAGCTTCTCAGTCTCCTCCTCCCCTGCCCTCCTTGGCGGCCCCACCAGCCCCACTTCCGGCCCGGGCGGAAAGCGGAAGTGTCGGGGGGACCGGCTGAGGATGGGGCAGTAGCAGAACTGAGCTGCCGGCGGCCGCGCCATGGAGACGGTGCAGCTGAGGAACCCGCCGCGCCGGTGAGGGACCCAGCCCGGGGCTGGAGACGGGTAGTGCAAAGGAGAGAGAGTGTGTGTGTGTGTGTGTGTGTGTGTGTGGGTGTGTGTAAGCGCGAGTGAGAGGAGCGAAGGGAGAATGTGTGTGAATGAGAGGGGGAAGACGTGTATATGTGTGTATAAGCATGAGTGAGAGAAGCTACGGGAGGATGTGTGTGTATGTGAGAGAGGGAGAAACTACTTGTGCATGTGTGTGAATGAGAAGGGGAAGGATGTGTGTGTGTGTGTGTAGAAGTGTAAGTGGGAGACTACTTGCATATGTGTGAACGAGATGGGGGAGGATCTGCGTGTGTGTCAGAGGGGGAGACTACCCGTGCATGTGTGTGGGGGGAGGCTGTGTGTGAGATGAGGAGACTGCATGCATGTTTGTAAGAGGAGATGAGGCTGCGTAGGTACGTGGAAGTGGATGAGGGTAGGGAGGATGTGTGTGTGGGGAGACTACGTGTACATGTGTGTAAGAAGGAGGAGGATGTGTGTGAGAGAGAAGAGCGGCTCTGTGGGCCGTGGGTGAGAAGGGCAGATGGGGCATGTATGTGAATGGAAAGGGGAAAGATGTGCGTATGTGTGAGAGAGTGGGGAAGACTGTGCAAATGTGTAAGAGGAGGCTGTTGTATGAGAGAGAAGGAAGGCTCTGGGTGAATGGGTGGGGGGGAGAACCAGTGTGTGCATGCATGTGTGTGAGAGGGGTGGGGAGAGTGTATATGTGTAAGAGGGAGGCTTTTTGAGTGAGAGGGGAGGCTGTGTTTGTATATGTGTGAGTGAGAGAGGGAGGGGGTGTGTGTGTGTGTGTACATATGTGTGAATGGGAGGGGGTTGTGTGTGCATATGTGTGAGTGAGAGGGAAAGGGTGTTTGTGAGTGGGAGAAAGCTGTGTCCAATTCCGTAAGTGAGGGGTGTGGAGTTGTGTATGTGATTAAGAGTGAAAAAGGGAGACTGTGTATGAGATCTAGTTATATCTTTGCTGGGTTCCCTGTCAAATACTGGGGAAGTGAGAAGGGTACTAGGTAAACATTTAGGTGATCTTTGTAGACATGGTCATTCCATATTAAGAGGAATGTCATCATAATGACAGTTATTATCCTTCAGATCTGGAGCTTGAAATGGCCCACAAGAATTTTCTTTATATTCTCCTCATAGGCTTTTTTTTTTCTTTTGCTGAGGCAGTCAGGGTTAAGTGACTTTCCCAGGGTCACACAGCTAGTAAGTGTCAAGTGTCTGAGGTGGGATTTGAACTGAGGTTCTCCTGATTCCAAGGCCAGAGTTCTATCTACTGCGCCACCTAGCTACCCCCTCATAGGCTTTTAAAGTTCAATCTCCACCATATTGGGGACAGAGATGAACAGAAGGGAAAGTGGTCTCTGCAATTCTAAATCTATGATTCTTTCATTCCTAAGGACCCTTCTCTATCTGTGTTCTAAGGTTCCTTCCACTTCTGAAATTTTAGATCTTAAATATTAATGCCCTCAGTAATAAAGCAAATGCTATTTGCCCTCATGAGTTAGATGCTCATACGTGTGTAACAGATAATGAAATAAGAACATTCTCACTTTACTTGAAGTTGTGATTTGTAAAATGACAAAGCAAGGTCACCTTTACTTTGCTTAAAGTAGCCATTTGTTTAAAAGTAGTTTCTTCACAGATACTGTAGTAGACTGTAAGATTCAGAGCTTGTCTTCAGGCTACTGTTGATGCTACCTTCAGGATTCTTTGGGTGGCATGTTGCCCATACTTTGTCCATGTTGGCAAAGAGCACTTAGGTAGAGTTGGCAAAGGCTAGTTTAAAGGATTGGTAGTTTGGTTTCTGATGGTGACAGTATGCATATATATGACAGTATATACAAAAAGCCATGTATAAAACTTTTCAGGTTGTCACTTGGACTATAAAAAGACATTTAATGACTCTCTTGATATTTTGGATCTTTAGTCTTTTTTACCAATACAGAAAGTAAATTGATGCCTTCTCATCTCGTGTGATTCTTATCTTGTCTCTGTAATTTCTCCATAAAGGATCTGTTCAATGTGGTTAAGACTTTTCTGGAGTTCTTTGAATATCATAATATAACATGTAATCTGTCCATCTGTTTCCAGAAGAATAGAAAAAGTAATAGCTTATTCATTTATAAAAAAAAAAAAAGAGATGATTAAGAAGACATCAATCATCGTCAACATATTTTTGCTTATTTTCTCATTTCTAAAATCTTTTGAAGATTGTCGATGGGTACCTTAAGAGTATCCTTGATGAAGATATGACAGGAGAACAGGTAGACTTTCAGTGAGAACTTTCCACAGCAGGGCACTTCTTTTTTTTTTTTTTTTAACTTTTAGGCAATTGGGGTTAAGTGACTTGCCCAGGGTCACACAGCTGGTAAGTGTCAAGTGTTTGGTCTGAGGCCGAATTTGAACTCAGGTTCTCCCGACTTCAGGGCTGGTGCTCTATCCACTGCACCACCTAGCTACCCCTAGGGCACTTCTTCGTAGTAGAGGTTGATTAAGAGGTACAGAAGATCCCACTGTGTTTAATTTTTAAAAAATTGGTAGAAAAAAATGCATCCCTAACATCTTTACTCAAATAAGGAATTTCTACACAAATACTAAAATGTTACACAAATGTTAAAATCATGCAAGATTCTATGACAGTCAATACTAGGGGGATAATTTCATTGATCCATTAAGTATCAACCTCAAGAAACAAATAAGACACATGTTCTTGTAAATTGTTCACGAGTGTCATAGAAGCTGACCTACACACAACCCAAGTAGAAGAGGGATCTCCTGTCAGTAGCAAGGTTGTCCAGATACTACTAATGTTTATACATGACATTGTTTTGATTACATTGAGCTCCAAAACACTACAATGAGATCCATTGTCATTTACTGTTTTGGTTATTTTTTTTTTCCTATGTAGATGTGTAAGCAAAAGTGGTTGAAAAAATGTATGTTGCCTAGGTAACATTTACTGGAATATGAAGTTCATTGTGATAGTTTGATCATTACATATAAATTTGGTCAGGTGTTATAAATGGATAGTGAGATGAACTTAGAATTGAGTAGGAGGAAAAGATCAGATTGAATCATTTGAGAGTTTGTACCTCCCTGTTAGTGTCTTAAGTTGCTCTCTGCCACAAAAGAACAGCTCTTTGATGCTAAAATTCTTCCACTGATGCTATGTGTAATCAAGTCATCAAGCTCCATTATCTCAGGAAAATCAAAGTTGAAGTTTGGAAAGATGCATAGGGTATATGTATAGTTGTAACATTTTGCCAAAAATAACTCGTGGGTGAGAAGCAGTGTTAAATTGAATTATTAAGATCCTTTTTTGGTTGAAATCTTTATTGATGATCTAGTAATGCCCAGGTATAAAAATTTTAGTCTGAAAATTTGGGGGGAAATACAGATGAAACCAGTAGTTGCATATCCTTTAAAAATAATTGTGTTTATCTTATTGTTATGGTTATGTTTTGTTTCTTCATTATCATCAATTCAGAATCTGTCCCTACCTCCCAAACTGCCTCTTGTGACAAAGATGAACAAAAGCAATTCAGCAAAGCCAGTTGTCATATCACCTCTATCCGACAGTATATGCAATATTTCCTCCTCCTCTGAGGAGATGCATTTTCTCAACCCTTCTCTGGGGCTCATCTTGGTCCTTATAATTACATGGGATTCAGTTTCATTTTCCTGTTCTTTCTTTTTGCGTTGTTGCAGTCTGTGTGTATATTGCTCTGTATGTGCTCTACATTTCACTCTGTATCAGTTCTTATAAGTCTTCTTATGGTTCTCCAAATTTTTCATAGTTGTCATTTCATATAACCAGTTGTCTGTCATTTCAGCACAAACTGTTTTCAGACAGTTCCTAATATGAAATGCCATAGAGTTTTAGGAGCATCTAAGCAATCAAATAAAATTTGTCTGTCAAAATATTATCAGAGACCTGCAGCTGTTTCTTCCACTGTAATGTCAACTTCCTTTGTTATGTGGTGGTATCTATCACAGTTGAAACAGTGCATTTTGCTTTTTTGTAAACCACAGAGTTAGTCAAACTTTCAAAGGAGAATTTGTTTCATCTTCTTTTGTATAAGCTGTTTATACAACTTTAATTATACTTGATCTATGAAATATTGTCCATTGTTTGCACAGAGCTTTAAAATTAAAGTCCTAATCATTGCAGATAAGAACTGTTTGGAGTATGGGGATGTGTTCATTGTAATTCCACATTTCATAAACACTATCATAAGTTCCTGAGAAGTTTTGTTTCATTGTTGAAACTTGGAAGTTTTTGTGATGTCAATGGAAATTATTCTTTAGGTTATTTTTTGTTTTAAAAGGTCACTGCGGTATTTCTGTTCTGTTTGTTAAAGTTCTAGTTGAGGAATTGTTTCAGGAAGACAGTGTGAAGTGGTAGAGACAAAACTGGGACTAGGGGTCAGAAGGTATGAATTTCAGTCCTAGCCCTACCATCAGTGAGCTGTGTCACCAGAGGCAAATCATATCCCCTCTCTGGGTTTCATTTCTCATCTGAAAAATGAAAGAGTTGGATTCTATAAGATCCTTTTTATTACAAACACTCTGAATTTTAAGACTGCTTGTCTATTAAAATTCTATTCTCTGAAGCCTCTTTCCAAGTCTAATGTTCTATGTTCTAAGGCAGGATTTCTTAACCTAGGGTTGAGAAATTTGTTTGTTGTTGTTGTTGTTATTATTGCTTGTTTTCATTTTTGATAAGTTTTTCAATGTAATATAATACAATTTAATACAATAAATATAATATAACTAAATATAAATGAAATATAATGTAAATTCAATATAATATAATATAATTTCCTTGGAAAGCTTATGGAAAAAATATCATTCTGAAGAATCTATGGGCTTCATCAGATTGCTGAAGGAGCCGGTGACACAGAAAGGTTGACTCCTGTTCTAAGGCCTTTTCTAGCTTTAACATTCTGTGTGTTAAGGTCCCTTTGATCTGCTACAGTCCACAGCAGGATTCCATGACATTTGTCATTTACAAGATACTATTTACCATTTCTGTAAGTAAAATCCTTGTATGTTTCTGGCCAGTACTACTAGTAAATATATTTGACACTTTTAGGTTCCCCCCTCCCTACCCTCCTCACCTCTTCTGGTTTTTCCAGTGTAGTTTTCTAGAAATTTACATGTTTGTTTTTCTCTTTTTCCCTTATTTTCTTGTCAGAACTTGTAGCTGCCTTTCAACTAGTTTAAACCTTTTCTTAAAAGAAAAAAAAATCTTCATTGTAACTACTTCCATATTTCACCACTTCCGGAGCTTACTTTTCTTTGTTGTGTGCGCTTCATTAGTTTCAGGAAGCCATTGTGTAGAAGACCTAATGTACACAAAAGAAATATTCCCCTGATATGCTCCATTTTAATCTCCTTTTAAATGCTCCTTTCTCTTGCATAAAGGTACCAAGAGAAAAAAAAGAATAGAATTCTTTGGACTTTTAATTTTTAATGGGCTCATGTTTTTTTTTACTCTTATAATTTATACTCAAAGTATATTTATATTCAGGTAGTTATGATTAGGAAACACGTCAGCAGAAAATTTTCAAATATCTATACATTTGGAGAATTTGTTCTGAGCAGGTCTTAAACTCTGTTCTGTTCTGCCGGGATATTTTCCCTGCTGATGATAGCTAAATGTATGATATGTTAATTCACTTAAACACATTTATTTAATTCTTCTTATGTACATGGCCCCACCCAGAGACAAAGATGAATAAAATTGACCACATGGAGTGAAAAGGAGCCTTAGAGGTCACTTTGCACAATCCTTTCATTTAATTGATGGATAGCTTGAGGGACAGAGAAGGGAGATTTTCCGAAGGTGACATGGTGAACTCATGCCTGAACTGAGGCTAGAAATTAAATCTTCTGACTCCCAATCCAGAGCTTCTCCTGTTTGATTGTGTCCTTACCCACAATGAGCTAATAATCTATGAGAGAAGAGGACAACTGTGATACAGGCTAGACTATTATAAACAAAGTGCTATAAAAGATTGGAGGAAGAAGTGATCATTTCTATCTGAGAAGATGTCAGAGAAGACTTCATGGAAGAGGTGATACTTGAGCTGGGCCGTTAAGGTTAGTGAGTACTTAGGGGTACACTTTTCTCTCTTCATGCTTATATAGCGGCATGATGTAGGGTGAAGAGAGCTAGACTTAGAAGCAGAAGACCTGGGTTTGAATCTTGGCTTCAGTACTTATTAGTTAGATGATCTTTGCAAGTTTCTTTATCTCACTGAGCCTCAGTTTCTTCACCTAGAAAATGAGAATAGTAATCTTTCTATGCCATACATACATATGAAGAAAATGTAAACCTTAGAGTTTACATTTGTAAGTTTACATTTACAGTTTGTAAACCTTAGAGTGCTGTATAAATGTGTATAATTAACTTAGCATCTGTTGTCCTAAGGTTTATGCCTTTTTGACAGAGCTCCTGTCTAACACAAACGGATGCTTATAGATAGGAACAATCTCTTCTCTAGTTCTTGGGAAGAACCTTCACTTTCAGAAAGCTTGAGACTCTACATTTACTTCACATTTTTTTTACCTTCCCTTAGCCACAGGCAAGCCCAATTATTATTAAACATTGTTAATTAAACAGCATAATTCATGTTGAAGCCAAACAGCTCCTCACCATACTTTTGTATTTCTGCTTTCAGGCAGCTGAAAAAACTGGATGAAGATAGTTTGACGAAGCAGCCAGAAGAAGTGTTTGATGTCTTGGAGAAACTTGGAGAAGGGTAAGTGTGCCACCTCAGTATGTCATATCACGTAGGATGTGGCATAGATTAAAGCAGGGATTTGCAAAACCATGTGATACATTTTGATGAGGTTAGCTTTCATTCTAGATAGGGACCCTCCTGTTCATGGAATATAAGCCTGAGATGTAATAAAGGGCACCTTGGTCATTTGTTTACTTCTAGGTTAATACTTTCACAGACCTATTCTTGCATCTGTATAAAATGTAATCACAGCTGGAACAATAAACCCTGAAGTTTGCTGTGGTTTGTGAGAAGACTCAGTGAGTTAAATTTTAGTATTGTAAGAAGCAGCATGACAAATGGAAATCCATGGGCTTAGTGTTCAGGACTTGGCTCCCACATTTATTAGCTGTGGGAATGTGGGCAGGCACTTCATCTATCTATATCTTCCTCTGCAAAATGGAGATAATTTTGATAACAACCTACTTCACAGGGTTGTTGTGAAGAAAGTGCTTTGTAAACCATTGAATGCCAGAAATGTGAGTTAATTGTCATTTTCCCTTTCAAATCGGCCCTTTGTTATAAACATGTTCATTATATGATTTTTTTGGTCTCAGACTTAATTGAAAATGATGGACACAATCTGCTGTAATGGTAGAGAGAGTCCTGGGTTTCCTTCTGTTTATTCTTGATGGAGCTCCTACCTCTTTGTAAGGAGCTCCAAGATGCCTCTTGTGGAAAGTCGAAGAATGATTGACTCTTAAACATGAAGCAGAAGAAGAAGACAAAGGGCAGTGCCCAGCCACATTGCTAGAAAGAGAAGACCAATATGGCTAGAAGACTATCATGTCTGGGAATTACTGAAGTATGAAAAGAGAACTTTGTATCCAGGGTCTTGGTTACCATTACTAACTTCAGCTTGACATCCTTTCCTTTACAAGGTGACAGTCTCAAGCAAGACATTCAATAATTAAGTAGTGCTTGTGGGAGGAAATAACTTTAGTGTTTGGGCCTCATACAATGGCTGCATGTGTATAAGAACACAGCAGAGTATAGTAGAAGGGGCACTGAATTTGGAGTCAGAAAACCTTTTACTTCTCTGAGCCTCAGTTTTCTCTCCTATAAAATAGAAGTTATACAGCCTACCTCATAGGCAGTAGTCAGGGGGATAATAATACTTCACCTAACTACTTCTGCCCAAGTAAAGAGGAGGATACTAATTCTTGCAAAACCTCTACCTGTACCAATAATGAAAGACATGAGATAAATTAGAGAAAGTACCTTGTAACTGTAAGGAGCATATAAAAAGTAGCCATGATTACAGTGTCTGGCACGTGAAAAGTGCAGTGTGCTTGTTTCTTTTGAATGGGATAAACTCAAGCATCCTCTAGCAAGTGGTCATCACTTGTGCCATTGTATTTAAAAGGAAGAGGCTGTAACATGGAAGAAAACAGATCAGGCCTCATTAGATGGTCTGGCAGCAGATGGGTTGGGAGGTACCACTTATCTCCCTCAAAAAAAAAAAAAGTGATAATAGAAGAAGAAGATACCAGGAATTATCCATGAAATGAATTAAAATGAAGATTTTCCTCTATTTTAGTTTAGATCTTCAGATGTTTCTGGCAGAATACTTAGAAGTTTCCTCCTACAAAAGCTGTCCTAAAGAAAATAGAGAACTTGAGCTCTTTCTGTTCTTGGCATAGCCTGAATGCTCTTTAAATGAAGAACAAGGTTGCTGTTCTCTTCCATTGGTCAGACTGCAACCGATGCAGAGATTTCTATTATTGGCAGTTGTATCTGGACAAGCAAGATTTAGGAAATTGCTATAGACAGACTTGATTAGGAATTCCACTCCAAACTGGTGCTATCCCCATATATGTGACTTGCTCAGAAAATGAGTGGACGATATATATATATGTATATAAACCAATTCATTGACTCCTATCTCATTCTGTGCAGATCCCAGTTTGAGGATTAACTCTTGAAGATTATAGCAGTTTGTTGTTTGAGGAAGTTAAGGTCTAGGAGAGTGACATGGTAGAAGGAGCTCTGACCTGTGAGCCTGAAGACTTGAGTTCTAGGCCCAAATGCATTACTTGCCACAAACTTGTGTTCGCCTCTTCCTTAAGATGAAGGGTTTGGAATAACTGATTTCTAGGGGACATTTTAGCCCTTTACATTTATGTCTCTGGACTTGGAGTCAGAGGAACTGGGTATATTCCTCTCGGTATGTTCTATGGCATTATACCTCTCCTAACCTTTGTTTTCTGTTCTGGGAGACAAGCGTATTAGAAAGGAAGATCTCTAAATTCTCTTCCAGCCCTTTTGGTCTGTGGAAATCTTTTATAGGCCTAAACTGAAATCTAGACCCAAACCAGGTTAAATGGAAATCACTTAATGGTCAGAATCAGAACCTACCACCTTCTTTCCCTATGTTTAAGGTTTTACATTTTTAAGTCTTGCTACTGGATCATTGCCTTGTTCTCATGTCCAAGAGTTTGCTCCTGCATCTTCCATACTTCCTGCCAGTTCAGCTAATTTTATGAGCCAATTACATTTAGTCATGCTCAACTTTTCTAGGCTAAAGCTAATTATTTGAAAGCTAAGATAATATATGTTTGTCTATTCCCTCCCTTTTGCAAATAATTTTATTGAATTGATGATGTGAGCTGGCAAAATTTCTCAAGACTGAAGTAACTTTCTTCTTCTTCTTCTTTTTTTTAGACAATTGGGGTTAAGTGACTTGCCCAGAGTCACACAGCTAGTGTCAAGTGTTTGGTCTGAGGCTGGATTTGAACTCAGGTCCTCCTGACTTCAGGGCTGCTGCTCTATCCACTGTGCCACCTAGCTGCCCCCTCTTCTTTTTTTTTAATACTGTTCACCTATCTGTCTTTCTGTAGTAGGCAGACAAGGATTTGGAGCCAAACTTAATTACAATAATTTGTAATTCTACTTATATTAGTTCACATTTTTATAGTATTTTAAGATTTACAATGGCCTTTCCTAGCAACAACCATGTAAAGTATGTAATGTGAAATTATCCACACTTTATAGGTAAAGAAACTGGTACTCATGGAAATGAAGTGACTTTCTGGGATTTAGACTCTAGTCTTCTGAACTCAAGTCCAACAATCTTTCTACCATACCACATCATTTGCTTCTGTAAAAGTTTTTGAAATAGAGGTATCCACAACTGTTCAGAATGAAATGAGCTCTTTTCATATTTGTGGCCTTGAAATATTGGAAGAGAGCCACATGGAAGGAAGGTCAGACTGATACCATTACATGTCAGGTCCAGGCGGCAGATTTTGACTTCACATAAATGAAGTTGTCAGTCATGTTATAATCTGCCTTGTAGGAGAGTGAGTTCCCCTCATCTGAAATCTTCATGCAGAGGCTGGATAATCATTTGTAGGGGGATATTGTAAAGGAAGACCTCTGAGGCCCCTACCAGCTTTGAGAGCATAGGATTCTTATTGCCAACATGAAAAGACATTCTTCGAACAATGAAAAAATGTGTTGCTCTTTCTGCGAGGATACATGTGTTACTTTCTCACCAAAGTAGTCGTTGTCTGTCTCACCTTCCCCTATTGCATTTGACTGCTTTGACTGCCAACAGAATAACTTGGAATTTAATTGGAATTTTTGTTTGTTTTGCACAAAGGCATTATTAAACGTGTGAAGAAAAGGCCTTAAAATGAAATTGCATGTTATTTCCTCCTCTGTCATTCTGACTTTCATTGAAAATGTAATCTACTTATGAGCAAGATTGTTTAAGTACTTAAGTTCTTGAGGGAATATGCACTGAAAAGAGTTTGCTTTTGCTATCTTTCCTTTATTATGCTGGCATTATAAGAGCTGAGATAAGCTCCATTCACATTTTGCTTGATCTGAGAACCTAGAAATATTCAAGTACCAAAGCTAGAGAACTACTTGACTGGGATGTTGTGGAGGGACTTCCTCCCCTGGGTGGGGGTGGGGCTAGATCACACCTCTAAGGTTCTTCTTACTTCCAGATTTTAGATACAAAGTTTTATGATTTGAGGGACATTTTAAATATTATTGCACATGGATTGCCAATGCTGGGGGTGGGGTGAGGGGAGCATGAAGAAGACTGAAGCAGCCATCTCTTAATTTTACATTTACATAATTTATTTTCAAGAAACTAGCTCTGCAGTCTACCCATATGGCTTTTTAAAACATCAGCACAGTGGGCAGCAAGGTGGCACAGTAGATAGAGCACTGGCTCTGGAGTCAGGAGGACTTGAGTTCAAATGTGGCCTCAGACACATCACACTCACTAGCTGTGAGACTCTGGGCAAGTCACTTAACCCCAAATGCTTCACCAAAAAAAAAAATCAGTATGTGACAGGTCTTTTTAATGAAGACTTTCCTTGTGGCACTTCAGCTGTCACACAGGGGTGTTTTTGAGGGGCGGCGAGCACCGTGTGTGTGTGTGTGTGTGTGTGTGTGTGTGTGTGTGTGTGTGTGTGTGTGTGTATGTGTTTTGGACAGTGTGGGCTATAAAGTCAGAAATGATAGGTGGTTTTATCCTTTAGTGTTTGTTCGTTTCCTGTCTCCTGGCTTGCTTTGACTTCAGCTTTTCAAATTGACTTTTGTCCTCTGCCCTCTGTTGCAGGTCCTATGGCAGTGTTTTTAAAGCTATTCATAAAGAAACTGGTCAAGTGGTTGCAATTAAACAAGTTCCTGTGGAATCCGACCTTCAAGAGATTATCAAGGAAATTTCTATAATGCAGCAGTGTGACAGGTAAAGGTAACAGGGTATGGGTCTGATAAGCACAGCTGTTGAATTTGTTGCATTTATAGAGAGGTTGAATCCTGGAGGTAACACTCATATTTTGCAGAAGTAAGAACTTGGTGGTACCACATTGCACATTCTATTGCTCAGAAATATGATTCAAAGTGTGTTTCAGTAGCCGAAATTGTCTGATATGTGCCCAACCTAGCACAATTCAGTTTTAATATTTGACCAGTTGAAGAAGGAGCCTATTTAAGAACTAGGAAGAAACGTCAGGGGCATGTGTGTGTACACACCTTGCCTTTTTTGATAATGATCTCTTTCACTTCCGATGGGGAAAACATTTCTGAGTGTTGAGTTGGGAAATTGTTAAAATAGTCTCTGAGGTAGGAAGGTTAAGAAAATACTTACCACTACCATCCTTCTCCCTACTTATTCTCCTTTCTCAGCCCTTGAAGTTTTATGTTTTTTTGTTTTGTTTTAAATTCCAGCGTTAAGTAATAAGTGCTTCTTCCTTTTTTGAGGAACTAAGGCTTGTCAACTTCTGCAGCCGGAAGTCAGCCATGCAGGCGACCACAAGAAAACAGACAAGCCGTCATGAAGTTCCATTACCGCCAGGGCTTCCATGCCAAAGGCCACGGCAGCCACTTCTTGGGGTGGCTCTGAGTCAGGCTCCTAGCACGGTGCTGTGAGAGAGGACTCTGGTCTCAGGATTTGAAACCCTGTACCTATGGTTACATTTAGCCTTCTAGAGTACATTTGCCATTCGCATTGAGGAAGAGGAGTTTTTTCCTTGGGAAAACTAAAATAATATTAACAGCTTGTGTTACTTCAGAGCAGCAGTTCACCTTTTTTGGGGGTGGGGCGGTGAGGCAATTGGGGTTGAGTGACTTGCCCAGAGTCACACAGCTAGTGAGTGTTATGTGTCTGAGGCCGTATTTGAACTCAGGTCTATCCTGACTCCAGGGCCAGTGCTCTATCCACTGCACCACCTAGCTGCCCCAGCAGTTCACTTTCATATCTAGTATTGCATTTGCTCTTTCTATCAGCCCTGTGAGGTAAGCTGGGCAAAGGTTATGATCCTCATTTGGAGATGAGAATACAGACTCTGAGAGGCTGATAATAATAATTTATGTTTTACATTTTATCACTATAATAATAGTGGTGATGTTAGTTATAAAGCTAACATTTATGTAGTACCTAATTATATCAGGCACTGTATTAAGTACTTCTACAATTGTCATTTGATCCTCACAACAACCTTGGGAATTAGATGCTGTTATTATCCCTGTTTTACAGAAGAGGAAACTGAGACAAATAGGTTAAGTGACTTGCCCATGGTCACAGAGTTAGGGGGTATCTGAGACTGGATTTAAACTAAAGTCCTCCTGACTTTTATTTTATTTTACTTTACTTTACTTTACTTTAAGAACAGAATAAAATGCTCCCGCTCTATCCACTGCACCACCTAGCTACTGCAACTACAATAACCCCATGATAAATATTATTGTCCTCATTTTACAAATGAAAAAACTGAGACTTAGAGGGGTTAAATAATTTGTTTGAATCACACAGTCAGGACTATGACTTCTGACTTTCAGTCCAGTTCTCCTTTCCCCACATATTTAACAGAGGCTACAATTACACTAATTTTATTTGTTTTTTCTTGTTATTGCTTGAATGCCAGATAAAACTCATATTTTAAAAATATCATTGAATCACATGGTTCACTGAAGTTCATCCCACCCACACACCTCCCTTTCCCAAGACAAATTATTGAACCTGTTCCCAGGTTACTTGTTGGGGTTTCTGTGTACTTATTAGGCTGCCTAAGAGTCTGTTCTGAATAGACAGTATATATCTAAGGGTATGTAGGTATTCGAGTAACTACAGGTCCTTGTGATGGATATAAAAAAGCAGAGAATACCTTTCCCTTTCAGGATCTCACAGTCTAGCTGGAGAAACAAAACAAGCATGAAAAGTTAACTAACAGTCTAGGGTGGTCTTTGATAAGTGTCCTTTGAACAGTGCTGTAGGTGCCCAGTGCCTTGGACGTAGGGTGATCTGAATAAATGCTTAAGTTAGATTGGAGCTTAGGGAAGGGAAAGAGGATCTACCCTTATTTCTGTGACATAAGTAGGCCAGAATAAAATGTTAAGAGAATTAGCATTTATTCTGATCTTTTTTGTTGCTACTGGCATGTTGCCCAGGAATGCCTTGTCATTTATAACTCTGAATTAGGAGACTGGATGTTAGCTACTTTTCTGTTACTAATGCAACATTATTTAGACCGATTAAAACCAGACATGGTTTTAGAGTTTCAGAGTTGACTGTTTCCTCTGAATGAGAGTCTTAGCAACTCCATGAAAATTCTGAGAGATAAATCTCTTTTTTGAGTTTAAGACCTGACATTCCATCTCTGATCCTGAATTTGAATAATTGAGCTTTGGAGCTGTGTGATTGCCCTCTGTATGTTTGACAGCATGATAAAAAGGTGGTGTTCTAAGACAGCTGCTAATTTATTCTCTCTGACTTCCCCAGCCCTCATGTAGTGAAATATTATGGCAGTTATTTTAAGAACACGGATCTTTGGATAGTCATGGAATACTGTGGTGCTGGCTCTGTGTCTGATATCATCCGATTACGAAATAAAACAGTAAGTTTTCCTCCTGGTACAATGCAATTGTGTCTGCTCTTTTGATATCTTCTTTACTCTGGAGCTTTTTGTTGATTTGCATTCCTATGACTGCCGTGTCTGTGAACAGGACTGTCAAATTTCTCTGCTTTCCTTTTGGCTCTTTTCCATAACTCCATCTCTGACTGTTGCGACACGCTACCCTCCTTCATGTTTTCTGATGCCCCACAAATGTGGCTGTATAGATATCAATTTTACATAGTCAATGTTAGCACCAGTCTTCCTGATTTTTTTTTAAATCATAGAATATTGGAGTTGGAAGAGACTTTATGACATGGAATTTTATAACTTGAAGTTATCTACACCTTTATTTGTTTCAGTCACCGTATTTTAAAGAATAAAGAATTTTCTTGCCCAAGGTCACAGGACCATAGATTTAGAGTCAGATGAGACCTTAGAAGCCATTGTACTCAACCTCCTCATTTTATACATGAGAAAACTTAGATACGGAGAGGTTAATTAAGTTGCCCAGCATTGTCCAGTTAATGTGTCTTGAGGTAGTATTTGAATCCTGGTCTTCGTGACTCTCAATTCCATTGTCTTGTCCATCTAGGTAGTGAGCAACAGAGAGCCAGGATTCCTGCTGAGGCCCTCCAAGTCCAGTGTTCTTTCCACTCCCCTGTTACGAGCAAATCTTAATCTGCTTTGTAAATCATCTGTAATGAATGTTAAATTTTAGCTAGGCTTCCTCCTGCCAACTCTCTCTACCACCTAAACAGTATGTGATTAAGGAATGAAATGTAATTTCAATGTAACAGAATGTAATGGGGACTGTTAGTTTTCTACTGCTACAAAAACTATCATCTTGTGTTGCATTTCAAGTGAAAAAAAGTCAGTTCGGCAAATTTTTATTAAAGACAAAATTGTACAAAACCCTATACTAGGTTTTGATTAATAAGATTAAGCTCCTTTCCTTACAGCAAAGGATCATATCTGGAGCTAAAAGGAGCCTTGGAAGTCACCTTCCAACTCCTTTTTCAGAGGTTGAGGGACTTGCCATTTAATTTTTGGTTGATTGTCTCAGGTTACATCACTGGTATGAGGAAGAGTTAAGGTGCAAACACATATCCTTGAACTGAGATTTTTCACTGCCCACCTCATGAAGCTTACTGTTAGGAGTGATATGACATTGACAAATAACTATTGATAAAAACAGAACAAAGAAAGTACATAAACTATGTTGTTCAAGGTCTAATGAGGGAAAGATCTTTTCCAGCTGGAAAGATTAGGAAATACTCCACAGACCAAGTGGTATGCTGCCATCTCTTCAAAAGCACTTTTAGCAGCAATAATGCTTGCTTTATTCAAGGTGTTAAGTCAGTGGATGGGGCAGTATCCTAGTGAGTTTTTAAAAGTACATTCCAAAAGTATGAGAAAGTGATTGATTTTAAGAATTTGTTCAAAGTTTCTTTTTAATAAGACGGATATTTGATCAGTTTGTATGAGGTAATATTTACACACACGCATCCCCAGTCACTTGCCTAGGGCTTCAGTTGAGGTGATAATAAATGACAACACATGGATTTTAAAGTTTATAAAGCACTTCATATACATTATCCCATTTGAGGCTCACAACACACCTGAGAAATTATCAATGCAAGTATAACCATCTGCATTTTGTAGTTAAGGAAACTGAGGCTCAAAGAGGTGAAGGGATCTCCCCTAATGTCACTTGCTAATAAGTAGAGCCAAGTATCAAAGCCAAGTCATTTGATTTTTTTGCCTGATTCCATTGAAATACACTTACATAAGCAAGAAATACAGCATATTAATCAGATCTGGGGCAGTTCTGAATGTTGAAATGAATGGCTTTGTATAGAATGTAAATATTTAAGAAGTCTCTGACTCTTTTAGATCAGATAGCTCACTTGGTTAAGAATATAGAGTTAATGAGGCTTAAATCATGGGTTTGGTCCTTGTGTGAACCATTTTTCGTTCTCCTTAATAACCATGCCTGGGAGCCCTGACCACATCTTACAAATGCATGTTCCTGGCCCTCAGGGGACCTTGGTGAGTGTGTGGATAGAGTAGTATAAATCTGAGGCTAGTGCTAAATGATGATAATACTGCCATACTTAGTAAGATACTTAAAACTCTGGTCTCACCGATGAAGACTTATTTCTTTAAGCAGTGCATATTACACCATTTCCACACCCTTTCCAGAGCTATTCTCCATCTATAATTTTCCAATGATTTGTGATTCATTATTATGGGCACTCCCTTCAGTGATTCAGATTACACCACATCACTACCCTTTCATCCTGTAGGACGCTTGTCCATATCTTCTGGCAAATCCTCCTGGGGTATTTACCTACATGCTAGGGACCTTCCTCTGGATCTCTTTACATTTGTGGGTACCAAGGGAGCCTAGGGATTCCTTCCAGTGTTAAATAATAATAATAATAATAATAATGATAGCTACATTTGCAGAGTGCTTTACATAAACTGTATATCTCATTGGATCTTGACAATAATTCCTGCCCTGTCTGCTTAATAGCTTTATCTTCACATTACGGATGAGGAAACCAGGGCTGAGAAGTTAAGGAAATTAACCCAGGGTCATATAGCTAGTAAGTGTGAAGCCTAGACATGAACCCATGGCTTTTGATTCTAAGTCCAGTATCTTACTGATGCCCATATATCATAACTTTACTTTAATACTTCATTTGGTCAGTTAATCAGCAAGCATTAATTAAATACCTACTACGTGGCAGGTACTGTGCTAGAGCCTAGCTAAGGATACAAAGAATAAAACATTTTTTCCTTTTCTTATTTTATATTTAAGTTTATATGTTTCTTTTTCTTTCCTTATTATATATTTAAGTTTTAGTTTTTAAGTGTAAAATTAAAAAAAAGATTAAAAAAAAGAATAAAACAATCCTGCTTATTCTCTGAAGAATCATAATAATGGGTCACCCAAAGGACAGATGTGGAGAGACATGTGGTAGTCATAAGTAGATTGCAGCATGCTACCAACCACGACTTGTGTGCAAGTAGTGTAGGAGACTATGTAGTATAGCGAGAATAACACTGGCTCTAGAGTCAAAGGACCTGGGTTGAAATCCTGCCCCTGCTACTTAGACATCCTGTGTGATTTTGGACAAGTCATTTAATTTACCTGTACCTCAGTTTCCTCATTTTTAAAATGAGGGAGTTGATCTAGAATGCCTCCAAAATGTTTTCTAGCTCTAGAATAATTATCTATTTTGTTGTTTTGGGCATTTTTCTCACCAATGCAAATTGTAGCCCCACCATACTTGTTTATCCTCTGTAACCTTTTGCCATATTTTTTTATAGATCCTCCATAGAGGATCTTTTGAGCATTCTTACATTTTTTTTAACATCTCATGGGATTCCATGCACCATTAGAATTATTCATTTTCTTTTTTTCTTGCTACATTGCCTTCCTACCGCCATCAAGGTGAGGGTGGTAAGAGCTTATGGAAGCAAAATCCCACTCCCCTTCAAGGTTATCTGACACCCCTTCCTGCCCTATGGTGAGTAGGACAAAAGCCCCTGCTATCCCTGTTGAGATGAGATTAAACACTAGGCTACTGCTGCTCCATGGGTCTTCTGGTTCCTACTTGGTCTAAGCTTTCTTCCACTCCAGGAGGAAGTCCCAGGCTAGGACCAAGAATGTCAAGACTCCATATGGTTGAGGTCTAGCCGGGCACTGATACTGGTGATAGGACAATTCAACGCTTTAGTTGCCTACTATGTCATGGCATAGAGGTTTGAAGATTTAGGGCCCAGCTAGTGTTCTAACCTCATCTTTCCTCCCTGCCTTGGTTGTGGCTTGGCTGTGGTAGGTGATCCTCTAAAGAGGAGAAGCCTGGTTTCAGATTTCCCTGACCAAGGTTAAGGTGTACTGGCAACATACAAAATGATGGCTTCTATGGCCAGCAGCCACATCTCCTGACAAATCACTGCTCTTGAGCCTAGAGTGTTGACCCAGATTGTGGAATGAAGTTAGAAAGGTGGCGGAGTGTTATGAATTTTAGCCTTTCTGTTTTCCCACCCTCCAGAGTGGACATTCAACCACTCCTCCCACACATTTCCAGTTCCTCTTTTTCTAGTGCCTGATGTAGGTCAGGAGTAGGGGTGAGAGATGGTGCTGGATAAACTGAGGCTTTGGAAAATATAGCTGCTTGGCATTTAGGGGGCGCTCAATTGTTGTTCTTGGAAAGACATGGTAATGTAATGAAAAGAATGCTGGATCTGGAGTGGGAGGACCCAGTTTCAAGTGCTAACTGCCAATCATCAATTGTATGAACTTGGGGCAAGACATTTAATCTCTCTGGGCTTCAATTTCCTCATCTCTAAGAGGTGGGAGTTGGCCTGGATAATTTTTAAGGTTCCTTCTAGCTCAGAGTCTGTGATCCTGTAATCAAGGACTTATTGGGACAATTTATAATGGATAATATTTTATTCATCATAATGACTTTAATCTCATTTTTCTTCTCTTTCTAAATGTACTGAGACTATACTATAGCGCTGTATTTAAATTTTTTTCTTCTCATTTTTTCATAGTTGACAGAAGATGAAATAGCTACAATTTTACAATCAACTCTTAAAGGACTAGAATACCTTCATTTTATGAGAAAAATACACCGAGATATTAAGGCTGGAAATATCTTGCTAAATACAGAAGGACATGCAAAACTTGCAGATTTTGGAGTAGCAGGTCAACTTACAGTGAGTATAGAAATGATTTGCTTTAATAGCCCTTATCTCTAGATAAGCAACTGCTTATTAAGTGTGCACTCTCTGGATGTACACTGCCAACCAGGCATAGAAGGGGATGCAGATTTTAGATAAATTACAGTCCTTGACCTTATATAGATTAAAGTCTAGTAAGGAATAAAGCACCAACACAAATAACTATAAAATAGTATTACAATTAGAAAGTTTCTGAAAGGGCTCAGAAATCTGAGAGAAATGGTTGTTAATGACTAGAAGATGTCAGTGAAAGCTTTGAAGAGGTGGTCATTGAATTGGGCTTTTCAGGAATGAATAAGAAAGGACTTGTGGTGATGGAGCCAAGATGTGGAGAAGAAGGAGCCCTTACAGCTAAGCTCTCCCAACATTCCCCTCCAAACAATTTAAAAATAATGCCTCTAATTGAATTCTGGAGTGGCAAAGACAACAAAAGGTTAAGGTGAGATATTTTTCCAACCCAAGACAACTCAGGAAGTCAGAAGGAAGGGTCTATGACACTGAGGTGGGGGCTGAACCAGAGCCCCTGTGGTGGCAACACCATCTATGGGCCTTAGAGGTGGCAGCAACTTCAGGAGCTCACATGCCAGAGACAATAAGGGCATCAGGAAACTGGTCAAAAAGAAATCACAGGGGACCCTTGTGACAGCACTGGGCAAAGGATCGGCACTGTTTGACAACTCTGTTGCCTATACCCACTTCTGGGTCACAGCTTTAGGGCAGAGAGGAGCACTTTCTGTCACAAGGGAGCATGGGCCCTGAGGGGTAGTAGTGTTTGTGGATGCAAGGGATCAGGGACTTTTTCTGAATAAGGGCCAGAGTATAGACCAGGTGAGCAGTGACCACACCTCTGCATAGATCACACCACCTTGAAAGAACTAAAAACTTCCAAAACTCAGAACTAGCCCTGAAAAGAGTAGCATAAAAAAGACTAAAGTTAAGGGCAGTTCGTCCAACTCCTCTGCACTCCCCGTACTCCAGCTTCCAGGAGTAGGTTTTCAACCACTTCTCCCACACATTTCCAATTCCTCTTTCTCTAGTGCCTGACATAGGTCAAAAAATATAACATAAAGAACTTGACTGAAAAAGTTGCTATAGTGACAGGAAGATCAAGACACAAACTCAGAAGAGGGTAGTGATGTCAAAACAGCTATAAACAAAGCCTGAAAAGAAAAAAAAGTGAATTGGACATAAGCCCAACAAGAATTCCTGGAAGAGCTAAAAAATGATTTTAAAAATTAGATATGAGTGGTAGAGGAAAAATTGGGAAAAGAAGTGAGAGCAATACAAGAAAATTATGAAAAGTCAATTAAAAGCTTGGCAAAAGAGGTACAAAAATATTGAAGAAAACACTTAAAAAAAAATTTTTTTTAAATAACACTTCAAAAAAAACCAGAATTGGCCAAATGGTAAAAGAGGTACGAAACTTCACTGATGAAAATAATTCCTTAAAAAGCAGAATTGGCCAAATGGAAAGGGAGGTACAAAAGCTTACTGAAGAAAATAATTCCTTAAAAATTAGAATTGAGCAAGTGGAAGCTAATGCCTCCAAGACACATCAAGAAACAATAAAACAAAGGCAGAAGAATGAAAAAATAGGGGGGAAATGTGGAATATCTCATTGGAAAAACAATTGATTTGGAAAATAGATTGAGGAGATATATTTTAAGAATTTTTGGACTGCTTGAAAGCCGTGATAAAAAAAATCGTATTTCAAGAAATCATAGATGGCATGTTTCAAGAAATTTTTAAGGAAAACTGCTCACCAATAAAGATGAAATTAAAGTAATTATTAAGAGTTATTTTGCCCGATTATATGCCAGTAAAACTGACAATCTAAGTGAAGAAGATGAATATTTACAAAAATATAAATTGTCCAGTTAACAGAAGAAAAAATAAAATATTTAACCCCATCTTAGAAAAAGAAATTAAACAAGCCATAAATAAACCCCTGAAGAAAAAATCTCCAGGACCAGGTGGATTTACAAGTGAACTCCACCAAACATCTAAGGAACAATTAATCCCAATACTATATAAACTGTTTGAAAAAAATAGATAAAGAAGTCCTACCAAGTTCCTTTTATAGCACAAATATGATTTTTGATACCTTAACCAGGGAGAGCAAAAAGAAGAAGAAAGCTATAGACCAATTTCCCTAATGAATATTGATGCAGAATTTAAGAATAAAATACTAACAAGAAAATTACATCAATATGCAACAAAGATCATACACTGTCACTAGGTGGGTTTTATACTAGAACTGCAAGGTTAGTTCAATATTAGGAAAACTATCAGCATAATTGACCATATCAATAACAAAAACAACAAAAATCATATGATTATCTCAATAGATGCAGAAAAAGCTTTTGACAAAATACAATAGCCATTCCTAACATTAGATAGCATAGGAATAAATAAAGTCTTTCTTAAAATGGTAAGTAGTATCTATCTAACACTAAGAGCAAGCATTATCTGTAATAAGGATAAATTTGAAACCTTCCCAATAAGATCAGGGGTGAGTCAAGAATGTCCATTATTACCATTATTATTCAATATTGTGCAGAAATGCTAGCTATAGCAATAAGATAAGAAAAAGAAATTGAAGGAATGAAAGTAGGCAATGAGGAAACAAAACTATCATTCTTTACAGATAATCTGATGGTATACTTAGATAACCCCCAGAGAATTAACTTAAAAACTAGTTGAAACAGTTAACAAAGTCAGCAAAATTGCAGAATATACAATAAACCCACTTAAATCACCAGCATTTTTATATACTACCAACAAAACCCAGCAGTAAGAGATAAAGAAATTCCATTTAAAATAACCGCAGACAATATAAAAAGCTTGGGAGTCTATTTGCTGAGACAAACTATGTGAACTATATAGGAAACTATATGAACAAAATTACAGAACTCTTTTCTGTATGCATGTATATATGTATTTTTTTTCCCAATTACATATAAAAACAATTTTTTAACATTCATTTTTAATAAAATTTTAAGTTTTAAATATATGTATAATCATGTAAAGCCTATTACCACATTAGTCATGTTGTGAAAGAAGAAATAGTTTGTAAAGCAATTACAGTTTGTAAAAGGAAAAAACCATGAAAAAAATAAAGTGAAAATAGTATGCTTCAGTCTTCATTCACACTCCCATCAGTTCTTTCTCTGGTTGTGGATAGCATTTTCCGTCATGAGTCTTTTGCAATTGTCTTGGATTATTGCATTGCTGAGAAGAGCTAAGTCTATCATAGTTTTTGTTTTTGTTTTTGTTCTTTTTTTTTTTTTTAGTGAGGCAATTAGGGTTAAGTGACTTGCTCAGAGTTACATAGCTAGGAAGTATTATGTGTCTGAAGCCGAATTTGAACTCAGGTCCTCCTGACTCCAGGGCCGGTGCTCTATCCATTGCGCCACCTAGCTGCCTCTAAGTCTATCATAGTTGATCATTGCAAAATGTTGCTGTTACTGTGAACAGTGTTCTCTTGGTTCTGCTCATTTCACTTTGTATCAGTTCATGTAAGTCTTTCTAGGTTTTTATAGAATACTTTTCATACAAATAAAGACAGATCATGAACAATTGCACATGGGTAGACCAAGTCAATATATTAAAAATGACAATTCTACCTAAATTAGTGCCATACCAATCAACTACTAAAGAATTATTTTATAGAACTAGGAAAAAAATAACAAAATTTACCTGGAAGAACAAATGGTCAAGAATATCAAGAGAATCAATGAAAAAAAATAAAGGAATCTGACTGGCCTAGCAGTACTAGATTTTAAACTATATTACAAAGTGTCAATACAGTTTGGTACTGGCTAAGAAACAAAGTGGTGAAATCATTGGTTAGATTTGGTACATAATACACAGTAGTAAATGTCTGTAGTAATATAATTTTTGATAAACCCGAAGATCCAAGCTTTTTGGGGAGAAAACTCACCAATTGACCAAAGTTACTGGGAAAACTGGAAAGCAGCTTGACAGAAATTAGACCAACAACTCAAATTGTATATTGAAATAAGGTCAAAATGGATAAATGATTTAGACATAAAGTGTCATATCATAAATAAATTAGGGAAGCATGGAAAAATTTGCTTGTCAGATCTATGGATAAGGGAAGAGTTTATAACCAAATAAGAGTTAGAGAGGATCATAGGAAGCAAAATGGATAATTTTGATTACATGAAATTAAAAAGGTTTTTCACAAACAAAACCAATGCATCCAAAAATTGGAAGGAAAGCAGAAAACTAGAGGGGAAATGTACAGCAAATTTCTCTCATAAAGGCCTCATCTTTCAAATATATAGGGAACCAAACCAAATTTATAAAAATAAGAGCCCATTCCCGTGTTGATAAATGATAGAAGGATATGAACAGGTAGTTTTCAGAAGAAGAAATCAAAGATATCAACAGTCACATGAAAAAATGCTCTAAGTCACTCCTGATTAGAGAAATGCAAATTAAGATAACTGAGATACCACCTCACACCTTTCCGATTGGCTAACATGACAGAAAAAGAAAATGACATGCTAGAGGGAATGTGGAAAAATAGCTACATTGTTTTTGGTGTTGTGTGCTTGTCCAGACATTGTGGAGAATAATATGAAACTGTGCCCAAAGGGCTATAAAACTATCCGTACCCTTTGACCTTGCAGTACCACTATTAGATATCCCAAAGAGATCAAAGAAAAGGGAAAAGACTTATAGGTAAAAAAATAATTATAGCAGCTCTTTTTGTTATGTCAAAGAACTGGAAATTGAGGGGATGCCCATCAATTAGGGAAAGGCAGAGCAAGTTGGTATTTGGTTATCGTGGGAGATCATTTGGAACTCAAAATTTTAAAAATGAATGCTAAAAACATTTAAAATAAACTAGATAGATAAAGAATGAGTAATATGTCAGCACAATAACTTAGTGACAGACCTAACTTCTAGGTGGGTCTTCTTTCTGCTACCAATACCAATCTTATAAAATTGCTTAGTCATGGACACAGGTAAATATAATTCAAATTTAGATTGAATAAGTATTTAAAAGGAGTGTAGCGTGCTATGAGATCAGATGAGGGAGTTCAGATCGGATGAGAAAGCTTTACAGTGCAGCCAGAGCTATTGAATGAATTGTTTGTTTTTTTAAATAAAAATACAAATAGGAAAAAAAAACCCTCATATTCTTCTGCGTGCAACTCCATTTCTGCTATTGCTTCTGTTATTTCATGTTGGTTTTTTTTTTCTGCTTCCTATTTAGGATACAATGGCAAAACGGAATACAGTGATAGGAACACCATTCTGGATGGCTCCAGAAGTGATCCAGGAAATTGGATATAACTGTGTGGCAGACATCTGGTCATTGGGAATTACTGCTATTGAAATGGCAGAAGGAAAACCCCCATATGCTGATATCCATCCAATGAGGGTGAGGAAATTGATGGAAAACTAATGAGATAGTTTCTAATTGGTTCATAGTTTCAGGAGTGTCAGAGTTGGAAGGGACTGTAAGCCAGACTATCAAAGCTGTAAAAAAAACTTAGAGAACATTTAATCCTGTGCCTTCATTTTACAGAGAAGGATACTGTCACCTAGAGTGGATAAATGAATTTTCCTGTAAGTAAATATTAACTTACTACAGATGAGTATTAGCACCAGATGGAAGTGAGTGGAAGGCCAGGAGAGGCAAATGCTTTGGATTCTTAGCTAGCACAGATGCCTGACTCTGGTTTACATTGAAAGTTGGCTTTGATCCTTTAGGTACCTATCTCTTGTACATTGTACTCTTATTATTGAGTAGCACACCAAAGAAATAATTGGTGCTAGTCAGTTTCCCTTTAGGGAGAATTTTTCCTTAGTGGATCTATGTGTCTAAGTGAAGAGTTTTTCGTAGTTTGGTGTTTTGCACATGAGTGGATGGCAGAGGAGAATGATGGGAGCGGAGGTTTGTACTTATATGGAAACTTGATTTAAAACTAAATAGTTTTGATCATTTCTGCCAAAAGTTTTATTTTAGAAAAGTTGTAACTTTCCCTTTACTGGAAACTCACAGGATAACATTATTTTTGACATCAAAGAATTTAACTACAGCACATAACACCACTTCTTCATAACTATGCTGTGTTGTGATTTTGTTCAAGTATTTCCAGTTGATTTAAAAATGTTCAACTAAGGGGCAGCTAGGTGGCACAGTGGATAGAGAGAGCACCAGCCCTGAAGTCAGGAGGACCTGAGTTCAAATTTGGCCTCAGACCAAACACTTGACACTTACTAGCTGTGTGACCCTGGGCAAGTCACTTAACCCCAATTGCCTAAAAAAAAAAATATGAAAAAATGTTCAGCTAATCTTATTAGTTTTTTTTGAGGAATGTGGTATTGGAACCAACTTGGAATATAACCAGCCCCTTAACATTTTTGGTGAATGCCAAAGGTTGTAGAATAATAAAATTCTGGAATTAGAATAGATCTTAGAAGCCATTTAGTGCAACTCCCCTCATTTGACAAATAGAGAAACTAAAATTGGAAAAGGGAGTAACTTGGCTAAGACCACCTGGTGAATTAGTAATCCTGCTGGTACTAGAACCCAAATTCCAGATGTGAGTTCTTTTCTGCTACTCCATGGACAATGGGCACCATAAGTGGTAGTAGTGGTCACTGGCGTAGAGTGAGAAGGTGCCCTGGGAGTTCATAACTTTTGGAATTGGCTTCTGCCTTTCAGGGGCCACTAGTAGTGACTACTAGGAGGCAGCACACCTGAAATGAGCTGAAAATAATGATGGATGGGATAGTATAAGTTTCAGAAGGACATGAATAAGGAAGACTGGGAAAATGACTCCATAGTTTCTCTGCTTTGAAATACTCAGATTTTTATTAGTATCTAGTGGGATACATTAGTGGAAAGAATGAAGTCTTTTTTCATTTATTCATTATTTACCATGATTCGTTGTAAAAATGCCTGGTATATGTAATGTACTGTACTTGGTAGGTGCAGTGCTAGTCACAGATAGAGGATACATGGTTTCTGCCTTCAATTTTAAATTTCATTTTTCATTAGCTTCCCTAGTAAAATTTCTAATGAGGTATCACTTTTTCCACCTTTGAAAAACTTTTTGTTTCAGGCCATCTTCATGATTCCTACAAATCCCCCTCCCACTTTCCGAAAGCCAGAGCTCTGGTCTGACAGCTTTGCTGATTTTGTGAAGCAGTGTCTTGTGAAGAGCCCTGAGCACCGGGCCACAGCTACTCAGCTCCTTCAGGTATGGAACTCACCTGGCCAGCGTCCCTAGTGACTGACTAGAACACGTGATGGAGATAAATGTGATAATTTATCTTGGCAGACAAATGAAGGCACCTTAAGGCTGAGGAGGTTAGGTATGGTCTTAAGTGATATTTGAAGAAGTTTGGGGTGTAATAACCAAGGAAGAAGTGACCAGGGTAACTTTTTAGAGTATCCCTTACTAGCTAGATGACTGTGGGCAAGCCACCACCTCTCAAGGGCTCTTCCTTAGAGCATCTTTGAAGAGGACAATAATTTTTTCACAAAATAGTTTCCTTATAACATTATGTGGATTATTATCCCCATTTTACAGATGAGGAAGCTGAGTCTCAGAGAGGTTGGGATTTGCTCATGATCACCTGAGTAAGATAGTGATTGCAGAACTGGGATTTGAAACTGGCACTTTTCCCACAGAACCTGCCTCTGACCTGCCTCATTGGGTATTTTGTGCCTATGTATATGGAACATGTGACAGTTAATCATAGACTCATAAGTGATGTTGATTTTATTTGCCTCTTGCTTGTGTCATAAAAGTTGGAAAGAAAGTGAACTGGCATAAAAATCATTTATTTGCTAAATGTTCCATAATTAATTATAAAATTGAATAAAATAACTCTTGCTTACAAAAAGGTGAATCCTTATAACCCTGTAAGCCATAGAACGTCAGAACTGGAAAAGACCTTTCAGTCATTGAGATCAAGCCCCTCATTTTCTAGATGCGGAAACAGACCCAGAAAGAGAAAGGGACATACCAAGGGTCGTAGGCCAGCTTGGAGCAGAGCCTGAACCCAACTCTCCTGACTGTTAGTTAACTTAATTAAACAGATATTTATTCAGACCTGCTTTATGCATGGAGGTGTGCTAGTCACTGGGTATACAAAGGTTAGGAACTTACAGTCTAATGGGGCATGTATAGGAAATCTTCTCTTTACTGCCATTTGCCCTCCTCACGCAGTTCTTTCGTAAGATGCAGTTACTTTCATTTCAAGGATTGTTTATCATTCTTCCACATCATTGCCGTTCATTTGTTGAGAAATATTTTATGGTACATCCACTACTATTCTTAGTAATAAGAAGTCACACTTACCTTACTACTTCATAGCTGCCTCACAACAGTACTGTGATCCTCATTTTACAGGTGAAGATACTGAGGTTCATGGAGGTTAAAGTGACTTGCCATAATTACATAATTGCTAATTTCATGAGCCCAAAGGTGAACTCTGGTTTCAAGATCTGGTGTCAATATGTCTAGTAACTGTTCTAGGCTTTGGGGGGAGGTTCATAGCAGCATGAGACAAGAGCTTTACACTCAGCCGGCAGACAGTCTCTTTGAGGAGATAAGAATAATAAGAGCTCAAAATTTATGGAGGACTTCAGAGTTTATGAAGTACTGTCTTCACAGTAGCCCTCTGAGGGACATTGTGCCGATATTATTCTCCCCAACTCATATACATATAAGGAAACTGAGGCTCAGAGAAAGGAAATAACTATAACCAAAGTCACACAAAGTACGTCAGTAGCAGAACTGAACCTGTGATCTTGGTCTCTGGATTCCAGGACTAAGGCTTTTGCCAAATACAAGAAGAAATGTTAAATAATCATGCAGAATGGCAATACACACTTTATCTATCCCAAGGCAGTAGTGTATCATTAAGTGTTTGGTGAGTGATTTTGAGTGTATAGAAAGAAGTTCAAGGGAGGGAGAGCTTGTCATCTGGAGGCATCTTCTTGAAGAAGGTTGGCATTAACCTGGGCCTTGAAGGATAACTCAGATGTGGAGGTGAGGGGAGGAGGGGAGGGAGGCATTCTGGTAGAGAAGCTGTTGAACAGAGGTAGACATGCCTGTCTACTCTCCAGGACTGTATGGTAAGCAGAGCTTAAGTGCTCTCAACAGCATTATGTTGACGGTGTGCTGCCCTTGTTTTTTCAAGCATCCATTTGTTAAGAGTGCAAAAGGAGTGTCAATACTACGCGACTTGATTAATGAAGCCATGGATGTCAAATTGAAACGCCAAGAAGCACAGCAGCGAGAGCTGGATCAGGATGATGATGACAACTCTGTGAGTGGCAGAAAGCCCCAGGTCTCTGGGCTCTATGATTAGGCCCTCTAAGATCTGTCTTTGAAGTGGAGAGGGACTTTTTGGAGGTGACTTTTCCTTGGTGTGAGGCCGAAGTTTGACTTCAGTCCTTTCTTAGTCTGTCTCTCCTAAAATTGTGACTGGTTTTGTTTTTCTCTTAGTCACCTGAGGCACTTCTGCTTTAGCTATCTTGTCACACAATTACAGAGCTAGAAAGGGACCTTAGATTATAGAAGAAGAGTCAGCCTTAGAGATCATCTAGTCTCATGGCTCTCAAACTTTTTGAACTCCAGACCCCTTTGTCCTCTTAAAAATTATTGAAGACCTCCAAATTGCTTTCACTTATATGAATTATATCTATAATATTTACTGAATTAGAAATGAAAACTGATAAAATTTTAAAATATTTAATCATTTAAAAATAATAATAATGAACCCATTACATGTTTACATAGATAACACATTTTTAATGAAAAATAACTACTTTCCAAAACAAAAAAAATTTTTAAAGAAGAGTAGTATCGTTTTACATATATTAGCATATCTCTTTAATGTCTAGCTTAATAGAAGACAACTGGATTCTTACATCTGCTTCTGCATTCATTCGGTTTTATTATGTTGTTCTGATTGAAGCATACGAAGAAAATTTGGCCTTACCCAAATGTGTAGTTGGGAAAAGGAGGAATATTTTAATAGGCAAATAAAAGGGAAGTGTTTTTCCCAGGTTTAGTAGCAGAGTCCTAAGGAGAATCAGGTTTCCTGGCTCCCAGTTCAGAATTCTTTCGACCCATTTATTTGGTGGGAAAAAGGGAATGATCCAGAGCTGTGATTTTCTCAGTGGGAGAGAACTTTCAATGTGGAAACTCTCCATGGCTGCAGATCAGCAACTTATCTGCAACTTAGTCTTAGAGAGGAACTTGGGGTACTGGATGGTGTTTATGTCAAATTTGGGACAGGAACCCAGGTCTTAACTTCAAGGACAACACTCTTATCTACTGTGCCATACTGACTCTCTGTCTACCAAATCATATTTATAATTAGCAGGAGACAGGCATCACCTCAGAAATTTGTGTGTGTGTGTGTGTTTGTGTATTTGTGAGAGAGGGTACTCTAGGCAGTCTAGAGGCCAAAAGAGCTTAACTTTTGAGGTAAATTGGCTATCATGGTGAATACCCAAACTGTAGGACCCTGAATCTTCCTTTATTGATCATGGTACAGTGGAAAGAACATTGCATCTGGATTCAGAGGATCTGGGTTTAATTAGTTAGACGTTTTGGTCACTTCCTCATTGACCTGGGCAAATCACTTTCCTTATCTGTACAATGAGAGGGTTAAACCAGAAGCCATCCAAGGTTCCTTCTAGCTGTATCTATGATCCAGATGTCCTAAGTCCTGGGAGTCCCTCTGTGTTCTGGTATTCTCCTTAGTACCTGAATGGATGATGTCAGACCTCTCTGGCCCTCCTTCGTACCCCTCTGAGGCATCCCTTCTTTGTGCCCTTCTCCTGGGAAGCCCAAGGACTCCCATCTCCTCCAGCCCTCCCTCTTCCTGGATTGACAGTTGGGAAGGACCTCAGAGACCAAGTAGTCCAACCGTTACTTAAATTGTGAATCTCTTCTATGACATCCCAACAATTTGTCATTCAGTTCTATATTTAAAGACTTCCTGTGGCAATGTGGCTTTGTGATCTAGTTGTTGTTGTGACCTAGTGAGAAGATTTAAAGTGCAAAAGGTCATATATTTCTTGCCTTTCAGGATGACTATGGAATCTTAACTCTACTACTTATTACCCATGTGATACAGGTAATGAGGTGAACAAGCCATCTTATATCTCTGGACCTCAGTTTCCGTGTATGTAAAATGAAATGATTGATTTCTCAGGTCTTCTCTAGCACTAATATTCTGTGCTCTGTAACCAGTGGAGGATATAGGATTTAGAGCTGAAAGGGACCTGAGAGATCATTTACTGCATCCCCAACCTCATTCCCCTCTGTTTTTTTACAAATGAAGAAACTGAGGCCCAAATAGGCCAAGTGACTTAGGTAGGTGTATTTATTTTTCAGTGGCATTTATTAAAGTACCCTTACAAGACTTTGCTGCCCCCAGATGATTAAATGCATTTTATAAGTTTTATATTTTGCCTGTTTATTGTTCAGGAAATAACCACTTGGTGTTTCTTTATCTTTTACTTAATAATAACAATAACAATAATGATAATAATAGTAGCTAACATTTATATAGCTCTTGCTGTGTGCCAGGCACTGCTCAGCACTTTATAATTATTATCTTATTTGATTCTCACAACAAGACTGAGAGGTAGGTACTATTATTATCCTCATTTTTCAGATGAGGAAACTGAGGCAAACAGATTAAATGACTTTTCCAGGGTCACACAGCTAGTAAGTGTCTGAGGTCTGGCCTCAAATCTATTTAAATTTGGGTCCTCCTGACTCTAGGCCCAGTGCTGTATCCACCGTACCTCCTTGCTGCCCCATACTCTACTTAGCATCGTACAGCAAAGATCTTCTAAGTCATCAGGGCATAAAGGTGACTCTGGGTCCTAGAAGGCTATCCATCCATTCTGCATAAGCCTCAGGAGGTCCTACCAAGTTGAAAACATTCCTTATATAGGCCCAAGAATTAAGTATGTATCTTTTATGCAAGGACCAGCATAGCTAAGGTCCAAGAGATTCTTCACCAGGTTGACTGTAGAATACTAAAGGTTACGACCACAGGAACTTTCAAAGATCAGCCTTCAAGCCCTGGAAGGTTTATAGCCTGTATAAGTGGAATGGAATACTCACAGTAGCTAAATTATGGGTTCTTGAAGAATACAATCCAACCCCTTCGTTTTTAGTGAGGATTCTAAGGCCCAGAGAGGGGAAGAGACTTCTTTCTCTTAGGTGGTGCATTAAATTGGAACAAGAACCATAGTTTTCTGGTTCTCAGTTAGTCCATACTTGTTTTACTGTACCACATCTGAATGAGATGAAATGACTATGCTCCCAGTCCAGTGAGGTTAGACAGTTCTTTAGCTGTCATCTTTTTGCATGGTATACCCTGATTAGTCAGATGTAAGAGCTCAGTTATGATTCATTTTTTCTGGGCATTGCGCTCTTACAGGAGGAGGATGAAACTGATTCAGGCACAATGGTCCGTGCTGTTGGAGATGAGACCGGCACAGTACGAGCTGCCAGTACCCTGGGTGATGGAGCCAATACCATGATAGAACATGATGATACTTTGCCATCACAGTTGGGCACCATGGTGATCAACACTGAAGAGGAGGAGGAGGAAGGCACTATGAAAAGTAAGTGATTGATAGACAAACTGACTCAGAAAACAGGCTGGGTAAGTGCACCAGTGAAAAGCTGTTCCTTATGAAGTATGTCGCTGATTGCTTGTCTTTCCTCTCTTTCCATCCCATAGGGTAAAAAAGGGTATAAGATCCTCTATAACATACTGAGTCTTAGCTTCTTCCCCTAGTCTCTTCTGACCTTTCTAGTGATACTGCTTTTATATCCTTCATTCAGTGTTTCGTGCTTGAAATGCTTGAAGGCCAGAGAGGAGAGGTGACTTGTCCGAAATTACCCAGAAAGTGGCGTAGCTGGCACTAAAGTCCAAGTCCTCTGATTCCCTTTCATCTTCTTTTCCTGTTGCCATGCTACCTCTTAATAGTGGGGGGGGGTTCTTGACCTTTTTTGTTTTATTAACCTCTTTGGCATTCTGTGAAGTAGTCTGTGAACCCCTTCTCAGAATAATGTTCTTAAGTACATATAATAAAATATATAGACTTGCAAAATAAAGCAGTTATCAAAGTTCATGAACCCCAGATTAAAAACCCCTGCACTAAGGCAATATTGAGACCATTGTGCTTTCTTTGAAGTGTATAGTGTTCTGGAACCAGTAGAGGGAGCTCTGTAATAAACCAAGAGGTTTTATAACCTTTTATACTTTTGCAAATAAATAATGTAACATTGGTACTACTGTAGGAACATGGTCTTTTAAAAAAATACATTTTATGGCCACAACAATGCCAACACAATGATTTTATTTTGTTCCAAGAGGAAATTAAATAACTTCCATCAAGAAATCTACCCAAGAGTACGATTCCCTAAACTTTTGATATCCCTTCCTAAAACTCTTTCCTAATGGCAGTGTGTAAATATAGCTTATAGTTTTTTTAGAGAATTACTTTATATTTGCAGTTTAATAACTTTAATCAAGTTGTTCCCAAGCCTTAATTCACTTGGTAATGAAATGTTTGTTAAATTGGATGGATTCATGTGAAGGAAAATGATAACTGTCCCATGGAACTTGTTTGGGGGAATCTTGTATAAGGTCAGGTCAGGAAGATACCTTAGAACATAGCTATAGCTGGAAGTTACTGGAGTGCTATGGGGTCTTAGAACATAAGAAGAAAATAAATATACACACACAAACACATTGCTTTAAGGTTTCATTTTCCTTATAACAGTCCTGTGAGTTGGTAGTTTAAGTAGTATGTGCCTCATTTTATAGATGAAGCTCAGAGAGGTTCAGTGATTTACCCTAGGTTGTGGAGTTTATAAGTATCAGATCCCAGATTCAGACCTTGGTCTTGCACTATAAGACCTTTCTCTACCACATGGCATCTGAACTAGAAAAGATAATAGATACAATCTAGTACAACTTCTTTTTACATATTGGGAAAACAGGTTCAGAGGAGGGAAGTGACAACTTAAATGATGCAGCTAGGATTTGAACCCTAGTCTTTTGAGTACTTATTTAGTCTTCTTTCTGTTCTAGTTAAGTAATATAGAAAACAGACATTTCCTTGTTTGTCTTAAGACTTTTCTTCCAAGGATCTTCAGACACCCTTCCAAGGGAAATTGATCTTCCCAAAGCTGCTGTGGTGTTTGCTATTTAATTTTACAGAAGAAACAGTGTATGATTTGTCCAAGGGTACAGACAGAAATAAAGTCAGGAACAGCTTGGAATCCTTCAACTCTTCTATCTTGTGTCATTTTAACAACTGTCATTGCTTCGCCTAGACCAGTCATAGCCAACTAAAACTGGCAGATACTGATTGCTGCCACTACACTACCTTCCCCACCTCAGTTAGGAGCTGCTTCCTACAGAGAGATTGACAGTCCCTTTTATGAAAGTCCTAGCTTTCATGCTGTCCCACCATTACCTTTTTCCCAGCCGCTGGCTGTCCAGAATGATAGCAATTAGAACCTTGATTTGCCAATTTGGAAAGGTTAAATATGACCTAGACTTTTATAATTAGTGAGATAAAGTAAATGAATTTTCTCTCTCTCTGTCTTCTCTTTCTCTCTCCCTCTTTCCTCTTTTCTCTCTGTCTACCTTCCTTGAATCATGGGCTTCTATTTTAACCTGTAACCAATTGGCCATCCCCTCCATTCAGTCCCTTATAGGTAATTCCAGCTGCCACTTGAAGTCCTTAATTGACAGGAGGAGAGAGGTCCTCCCCCATTTCGAAAGCTATCACTTCTTGGTGTTCTACTCCCACAAAAGGTTCAGTCCCTAAACCATTCATTCATTGGCTTGTTGACAGTGTTATTTAGTACAAACAAGACATGGTAGTGCATTTCATGTTCCCTTTCTCCCCTCTCTGTCAGACTGACACATAGTCATAGTCATCTTGCATAATGACACTTAGTATTTGCCACTGATCTCCTGTCACTTTAAAGATATATGCTTACTTCAGCAGTCTTTTTCCATTGCATCTTCATGATGGAGAAATGACCCTGAGTTCTTGAAGGCTAAGCCAAGAAAGGGCAAGCCCCAACCTTTCTATCTTAGTCCCTGGAAAAGCTTTAAATACTGGCCTGGGAGTAGACAGTATATCTGCCATTCAAGGACCAGTCTAGCACTATATGCTCATTATGATAGGATCATAAGATTTAGAGCTAGAAGGGACTTTAGAGGCTACTGAGTCCAGCCTCTTCAGTTTACAGATGAGGAAACTGAGGCTCAGAAAGATTAAGTGACTTGCCCTAGGTCACACAACTAATGTTTCTGAGACAGAATTTAAACTCAGGTTTTCCTGACTCCAAGTCGAGCTGCGCTATCCACTGTGCCACCTACAACACATAATGAACTTTTTAGCCATGGCAACTTAAGAAATGTGGAGGAATTTCAGTATATTTTGGTGGAGTGAGGACCCATACCAGTGAAATCAGATCTTTAAAAGAATCAAAGAATATGTCTCCTCCACCACACTGGAATTTCTCTAAGGACATTAATTGTAACTTCTGTTTTTCTTGTATCCTTCTAATTTTTTTTTCCCCTTAGAACTGTTCCACTTAATCTCTTTAAAAATGGTAATTTGGAACGTAACAACATATCTAATTCAGGACAACTCAGGCATGTTTTAGGTGAATCAGTGTTAATGTTTTAAGATGAAAAAAATTAGGTATGTGTGTTGTTTCACAGAAAGTACTGACTGTAATAAAAGACAGCTATTGTTGATGTGTAGTTTCATTGTATTGAAACCAAAGGCACAGATCTTGTTGAAATTTCTTTATTTCAACACTCTTCATCAGATACTGATTTCTTTGCTGTGTAGTACAGGAATTCTTGACCATCAGCCCATTTTTTTTTCTCTAACTGCAGTTGTTTGAAGAGAGTTGTTGTAACACTGCTTCCCTTGTGTGTTATCATATTCTGTCCAGCTCACAAAGAGGTTATAGCATTTGCAAGTAATTAGGATATAAAGTACTACTGGTATTTTAACACTTCTTTCACCACAATACCATTACTGTGCTGTTTCTAATTTCTCAAACTGGAAGGAATATCAGAGACAATCTTGTCCAACCTGTACCTTAAGCATGAATTCCCTTTACACCAATTCTGGCAAATTCAGCCTCTGCTCAGACATTTCCACTGATGAGAAACTTAATTCTTAAGGTGATAGCTGGTCCCATTAGTTAATTCTTTAGGTGGAGCTAAAATCTGCCTTACTCTGCCTTCTATCCATGACTCCTTGAACCAAACCATGTAAGTCCAATCCATCTTCCTTCCACATACTTGTCCATCAAGAATTATGTATTTATAGCGTTGGAGATTTACAACTGGAGGGACTTTAGAGATCATCTCCTCTGCTCCCTCATATTGTAGATGTGGAAACTCTGGCGCAGAGAGGTTGTGATCTGCTCGAGGGTTACCTCGGTACTAAGTAGCAAAACTGGGATTCACATCCAGCTCTTCTGATTTCCCGGTCTAGCACTTTTTTCACTACTACATGCTGCTTCTCAGGGATTCTGTGAGGAAATTTTTGGTAAGCTGTAAACTCAACATAACTGAGAATTATTATTATTGATATTTTTCAAGACTGTGATCATGTATGTCTATTTTTTGCCCAAACTAAATGGAACGGCAATATGATGTAGAAGGAAGAGTATTAATGACTGTGAGAGTCAGAAAGCCTAGGTTTGAGTTATGGCTCTGACACATATTAATGGTGAACCTCAGTTTCCTCATTTGAAAATACTTATACTATTCACAGGGCTATATGAGGAAAATGCCCTTATGTGAAGAGCTGGGTAAATGGTGAATGATTATTCTTATCATCCTCAGTTACTTGAAAGAATTTTCATGACATAGTTTTAAAGTTTATACAATTATCAAAGTATTGTGCACTTGCTACTCCATAATCTCTTTGCCCTATAAGAGATTCAAGGGACTGGTGCAGGCATATATAAAAGTTAAACTGACGTATATCTTTATGAAATTCAAAAGGGCAGTGGAAGAATAGGAGCTGGAATAAACTATGAATTTACAGCCTTTCTCATTTTAATGCAGTTATTTATGAAAAATAATTCATTTTTAGACTTAGAAACTTTCTTCATTTGGGGCTGCTTGTTAATTAGAGCAGATTCTGATTCCTATAAACCTGCTAGTCAGATTTTTATTCCTCTCCCTTGATAAAAGTAGCATTTATTGTATGAGCATAGTTTGTATATCTGAGCATCCATCTCCTCTTATGATATCAGAGATGGAAATGGACCGTAAAAATCATCCTCTTCAACTCTCCTATTTTACAAAGGAGGAAACCAGGGTCAGGAGAGTTGAAGATGCTTTCCTAAGACCAGACTCAAACCCTGGTGTCCAAATTCCAAGTGTGATGCTCTTTCTATTACATTATGGCCTATCATTGTTAGCCAAAATAAAGGCAACATAACTATTTTGTTAATGTGTTGACAGTGTGCTATATTTTTTGAGAAATTTCTTGGCAGCAGGGTAGTAAGTATCCAAGTGGGTTGGGGGTGAGAAATGCTAGACAAGGAGAATCTGTTAAGCATC